TTGAGCTTTTGCTCAAGGCTTTTAGCAGGATTATTAAAGCAATTTTACACAACCTTTTCTCTTAACAACCTAAACTTTAATTAAAACTGTTGGCGAATGATGTACATTGACAAATGTCTTCAACCTTCTCTTATTTCAGTGACATGATCTTTCATATTTGTCTTAGCTACATTTGTAGCAGTTAAAGAGATTGTAACAAACTCATATTAGAGCTGAACCTTGAAAGGGGCAAAACAAGTGGCGGGGTGTCCACTTTGTTGTTGTTTCAACTGCAGATTGCCCCTTTTTAATTGGAATGGTCAGAGAAAAAGGCCAAAACCACTGAGATGTGTGGAGCAGGAGAAATCTGAGGTACCTAAAGGACTTCTATTAGCTTTAAACCTTCATAATCGCGGTCGGAGAATGCTGAGAAGCGGTTAGAGGCGTGTTGAGTAGGAGAGGTCAGGGGTCGGCCGTGGCCCTGTGGCCTGCAGACTTGACCAGCTGCAGGGGAGCTGAATATGGAGCTCCCAGTAACCTAATGAAACACGTCAGTGGAGACCTGGGAGCCGCTGACCCATGCAGCCAGGAACAACCCCCTGACTGATATTCTCTGCCATTAGGGTCTTATTCATTAATAGTATACAGGAACCAAGGAGTCCAGTGGTGGAGGGTTCAGGGACAGGGGCGCCATTTGTTGCTCAGTGGAACTGAGAGGAAATTACAGGCCAATCGTTCTCATTAATGTTGATTTCAATCACTTGGCTCAGGCGACCCTAATGAGGTTAATAGAAAGGGGGGAGGGAGGGAAGGGGAGATGGTGGGGGGAGGAGTGAGAGAAAGTGGGAGATGGGGTGGAGGAAGTGCTACCGCTGATATCTCTGCCTGCTTCCCCCACTGAACTCTCATTTCAAAAGGTTGGCCTTGTTTTTCTTACTGACCCCGTCTGGTCGTTTTACCGCAAACAAGTCCAGAGACTACACAGAGAGATCACGTGCAAACAGGTCCAGAGACTACACAGAGAGATCCGTGCAACATCCGAGACTACACAGAGAGATACGTGCAAACAAGTGAGACAAACAGAGAGATCACGTGCAAACAAGTCCAGAGACTACACAGAGAGATACGTGCAAACAAGCCAGATACTACCTGCAGGTAAGTGTAGAGTTGGCCAGTAACCGAAAGGTCTTGGTTCTAATCACACTATGTGAAAATCTGTCGATGTACCCTTAAGCAGTTAACAAATTGCTCCTGTAAGTCGCTCTGGATAGAGCGTCTGCTAAATGACTAAAAAAAAAAAAAAAAAAAAAAACTACACAGAGAGATCACGCGCAAACAAGTCCACAGAATACACAGAGAGATCACGCGCAAACAAGTCCAGAGACTACACAGAGAGATCACGTGCAAACAAGTCCAGAGCCTACACAGAGAGATCACCCCTGTGAATAAACAGATAATCAAGCTACAAGAACATTCTGGATTTCAGCTTTTGTCAGTTTGTAACTGCATTCTTAACTGTTGAAATAATCTGCTTAAGTTGTTATGTCGTATGATGTCTTTGTTTGCTGATATTGGCATTGCGACATGGCTACAATAAACCACTCTCCTAAACTGATTAGCTGTACAGTTTACATTTCAGTATTTCAATGACAATTTTTTTATTTTAATACGTATTAACACGCGCACACAAATTCTGCCAATATTGGAGCACAGCGCATACTCACTTAGTGAGCTAAAAGCTGACCAAATGCCAAAGACAACATAGATGTTGCTGTGTAAGATAGCTGTTCAGTTGCTTTTTCCTATTCAGCCAGGATTGGCTGGCAGTATCATTTTGCATTAGGGGAGAGAGGGAGAGAGGGAGGCCCAACTCAATGACCCGGCCATCACAATGCTTTCCAGTTTCCTGTAAACTTGTGTATAAATGCCTTATACACTCACAGAGGCAGTCCTGCAGCAGAAAGACAAACAACACCTGAACTGGGGAAGAGAAGCTGGAGGGGACGGGGGTCGACACAGGAAAGGGAGAGGGAGACAGAGCGGGGGAGAAAGAGACGTTTCCTGAGCTAATAAAATACGGGCAGGAATGGAAGCTGCCAGCCAGCATTCTTGTGCTATTAGACAAGTTACTTCACTGCAGACTCCAGTTTCTACTGCAGTGCTGAGATGGCATGCTGAGGTCACCGGGCGGGGCTGGGCTGGGTATGGGGTAATACATCTAGGCTGCTGTTAAACCGGGAGACTACTTGCTCTCGTCTGCAACCCTATGCTTTTTGGTAGGTGCTTTTATTATTGAATTTGTCTGAGAAAAAGAATGACTTTCCTTGCAAGTTATCACCCGTCATAAATCCTCATCAGCTTTAGATCAGTCTGTGTGTCGTATATTATGATCAGCCTTAAACAGTTACTGCATGTTTTTCTTTTATGCGTGGTCATTGAAGAAGAGCAACAAAGTTAGGGAGGGAAGTATAGCCTATACCTGTAAGGCAGACTTCCTAACCTATCAGTGTTGGTGTATCTTGTTATCCTCCAAACTGATCTGTGATTTCCACCACTGTGTGTGATCTAGGCCAGTCATCCCATTGGATGATCTCACCTCAAGCTAAACTTGGATTTAACATGCCAGGTCATATATCTCCTAGCCTGGCCATGCATGCCTAGAAATTCTAGTAGTTCTGAATACTGCCAACTTAACGCCAGTCGGCCCCCACAGTCGGCCCCCTATTCGGCCCCCACAGTCGGCCCCCTATTCGGCCCCACAGTCGGCCCCCTAGTCGGCCCCACAGTCGGCCCCCTAGTCTTCCCCACAGTCGGCCCCATACCAGCAAAGTGGAGGATATTCCTGTATCGGGTTCCAGCTTCTCTCTTGCGGCGCTGGCTGCTGATGCCCAGAACATCAGACATTCATTTAACAATATCTTTGCTCTGGCACTCCGCTAAGGGCTCCTAGCAGAATCATTAAGCTCGGCTGGATCGTTAAACCCGCAGGCTGAATATGAACTACAGAGCCATCACTAAAGCAAAGGCCTCATATGTTTTTTTTTTAGTCTGTTGCTTGGTAGCAAAGTTAAGATGGAGGACAGCAAATCATTTTACATACAAATAAGAAGGAACCCTCGGTGCTACCGAATAATGGAGAACTGACACATTATAATAGACAGCAGTAATGGAGAACTGACACATTATAATAGACAGCAGTAATGGAGAACTGACACATTATAATAGACAGCAGTAATGGAGAACTGACACATTATAATAGACAGCAGTAATGGAGAACTGACACATTATAATAGACAGCAGTAATGGAGAACTGACACATTATAATAGACAGCAGTAATGGAGAACTGACACATTATAATAGACAGCAGTAATGGAGAACTGACACATTATAATAGACAGCAGTAATGGAGAACTGACACATTATAATAGACAGCAGTAATGGAGAACTGACACATTATAATAGACAGCAGTAATGGAGAACTGACACATTATAATAGACAGCAGTAATGGAGAACTGACACATTATAATAGACAGCAGTAATGGAGAACTGACACATTATAATAGACAGCAGTAATGGAGAACTGACACATTATAATAGACAGCAGTAATGGAGAACTGACACATTATAATAGACAGCAGTAATGGAGAACTGACACATTATAATAGACAGCAGTAATGGAGAACTGACACATTATAATAGACAGCGGTAATGGAGAACTGACACATTATAATAGACAGCAGTAATGGAGAACTGACACATTATAATAGACAGCAGTAATGGAGAACTGACACATTATAATAGACAGCAGTAATGGAGAACTGACACACATTATAATAGACAGCAGTAATGGAGAACTGACACATTATAATAGACAGCAGTAATGGAGAACTGACACATTATAATAGACATCAGTAATGGAGAACTGACACACATTATAATAGACAGCAGTAATGGAGAACTGACACATTATAATAGACAGCAGTAATGGAGAACTGACACGTTATAATAGACAGCAGTAATGGAGAACTGACACATTATAATAGACAGCAGTAATGGAGAACTGACACATTATAATAGACAGCAGTAATGGAGAACTGACACATTATAATAGACATCAGTAATGGAGAACTGACACATTATAATAGACATCAGTAATGGAGAACTGACACATTATAATAGACAGCGGTAATGGAGAACTGACACATTATAATAGACAGCAGTAATGGAGAACTGACACATTATAATAGACAGCAGTAATGGAGAACTGACACATTATAATAGACATCAGTAATGGAGAACTGACACATTATAATAGACAGCAGTAATGGAGAACTGACACATTATAATAGACAGCAGTAATGGAGAACTGACACATTATAATAGACAGCAGTAATGGAGGAACTGACACATTATAATAGACAGCAGTAATGGAGAACTGACACATTATAATAGACAGCAGTAATGGAGAACTGACACCATTATAATAGACAGCAGTAATGGAGAACTGACACATTATAATAGACAGCAGTAATGGAGAACTGACACATTATAATAGACAGCAGTAATGGAGAACTGACACATTATAATAGACAGCAGTAATGGAGAACTGACACATTATAATAGACAGCAGTAATGGAGAACTGACACATTATAATAGACAGCAGTAATGGGGGAACTGACACATTATAATAGACAGCAGTAATGGAGAACTGACACATTATAATAGACAGCAGTAATGGAGAACTGACACACATTATAATAGACAGCAGTAATGGAGAACTGACACATTATAATAGACAGCAGTAATGGAGAACTGACACATTATAATAGACAGCAGTAATGGAGAACTGACACATTATAATAGACAGCAGTAATGGAGAACTGACACATTATAATAGACAGCAGTAATGGAGAACTGACACATTATAATAGACAGCAGTAATGGGGGAACTGACACATTATAATAGACAGCAGTAATGGAGAACTGACACATTATAATAGGGAGGCTGCTCTGAGAGTATGCCCAGGAACCCCTGTCTGATCTGTTGCAGTGGCCCCGGTTAGTTGAAGAATACAACGTGAGGTCATTCTTAATGATGGAGCAACCGTTCTATTCTGCCTTATCCCTTGGTGGTGTTGTGAGAGCATTAGTCCAGATGTATAGGAGTCTCGTGACTCTTGTCAATGAAAAATGAAGACTTTTTGGTGTTGTTTTCCCACAGGCATGCTGGTGGTGAATGTGACCTGGAGAAACAAGAGCTACGTCGGCACCCTGTTGGACTGTACTCGACACGATTGGGCACCTCCCAGGTAAGCACATCGCCACCATTTATTAGTTCTCTCCACTTTCATTCTAGACTGTTCACATTTTTAGGGTACTTTGTCTCTTTAAACATTCATTGGATTCAACTGAACATTTTGAAATCGGGTATCGGCGTTAGGCATACGGCTTCCGTATACTGAATTGTAATTGAAAAATGGTCGCTGGCCATAATCTTTCCACAGTACCATAAGTCTTGTACTTAGTAGTGTTTGATGTCAAATATGAGCATTTCCAGGGGCCATCAAACATCAGATACTCAATTTAAAACAAATCATTTACCCTTCTAGCACTTGGTCTCTCACCTTTCCTCCGATATGAATCTGCCCATCTGCCATCTATATCACGCTAGCTGTTGGATGTTAGTCCTCACCTCCCGTCTCTAGGGGGGCAGCAGTGCTTGCCTATCCACTGTAGTCTTTATCTTGGGCTCGGAGATACGTTCTGCAAACTGCTGACGTCCCGAGAGGACGTGATAGAAATAGAATCGTCCACCAAGCCAGATTGCCGGATCCAATTATTGCGCTAATAGCTTTTCCCAACACTGTATCACATTCTCCAGTGCCGTGGTGGGACCAGAACGCCTATCAGCAGCATTGTCTCAGCACTGGCTCATTTTCTCATGCTCTTTAATTCCTGAAATCCCCATCTCATTTAACTACCGCAGAGAGTTTAGCTTAAATTTTTTGATAAGACCATACCACTCAAGCTCTGCACAGCCACATCCACCTTTAGTCAAAACGTCTCACTGTGTACTAGGAGACGTGGGAGAATGACAGTGTGTTCTATCACTTTTATCCTGCGACAGACTGGCTTTCAGAATTGCATTGTAGCTGGGCTTACTGTGACAGTTTGATTTGAAGGCTCTCAGCAAAGTAACAGCTCAACAAACTTTCAGGAAACCAAATCCACCTTCTCTCCAGCTCCACGATGAGTAATGAGTCTGTATTCCTCCATCTCCGTGGGCCTACGGATTTACTCTCATCCCCTGCTGCTGGTGAAATAGTTTGGAGTGGTTGGAGGGGGGAAGTTATGAGTCATCCCGGGCACCGGTGTCTTTGTCACAGACTGTTAACCTTCACTGCTGGGATAATTACATTATTATCAAAGAGACATGGGGCCCAACTCTATTTTAGGGATGGGAATTATGCCACTTATTATTTGCCAGGCAGGTACACTACATGACCAAAAGTATGGGCATTAATATGGAGTTGGTCCCCTCTTTGCTACTATAACATCCTCCACTATTCGGGGAAGGCTTGCCACTAGATGTTGGAACATTGCTGTGGTGGGGACTTGCTTCCATTCAGCCACGAGCATTAGTGAGGTCGGGCACTGATGTAGGGCGATTAGGTCTGGCTCGCAGTCGACGTTCCAATTCATCCCAAAGGTGTTCGATGGGGTTAAGGTCAGGGCTCTGTGCAGGCCAGTCAAGTTCTTCCACACCGATCTCGACAAACCATTTCTGTATGGACCTCGCTTTGTGCACAGTGCATTGTCATTCTGAAACAGGAAAGGGCCTTCCCCAAACTGTTGCCACAAAGTTGGAAGCACAGAATTGTCTAGAATGTCATTGTACAGTCGTGGTCAAAAGTTTTGAGAATGACACAAGTATTGGTCTTCACAAAGTTTGCTGCTTCAGTGTTTTTAGATATTTTTTGTCATTTGTTACTATGGTATACTGAAGTATATTACAAGCATTCCATAAGTGTCAAAGGCTTTTATTGACAATTACATTAAGTTTATGCAAAGAGTCAATATTTGCAGTGTTGACCCTTCTTTTTCAAGACCTCTGCAATCCGCCCTGGCATGCTGTCAATTAACTTCTGGGCCACATCCTGACTGATGGCAGCCCATTCTTGCATAATCAATGCTTGGAGTTTGTCAGAATTTGTGGGTTTTTGTTTGTCCACCCGCCTCTTGAGGATTGACCACAAGTTCTCAATGAGATTAAGGTCTGGGGAGTTTCCTGGCCGTGGACCCAAAATGTTGATGTTTTGTTCCCCGAGCCACTTAGTTATCACTTTTGCCTTATGGCAAGGTGCTCCATCATGCTGTAAAAGGCATTGTTTGTCACCAAACTGTTCTTGGATGGTTGGGAGAAGTTGCTCTCGGAGGATGTGTTGGTACCATTCTTTATTCATGGCTGTGTTCTTAGGCAAAATTGTGAGTGAGCCCACTCCCTTGGCTGAGAAGCAACCCCACACATGAATGGTCTCAGGATGCTTTACTGTTGGCATGACACAGGACTGATGGTAGCGCTCACCTTGTCTTCTCCGGACAAGCTTTTTTCCGGATGCCCCAAACAATCGGAAAGGAGATTCATCAGAGAAAATTACTTTACCCCAGTCCTCAGCAGTCCAATCCCTGTACCTTTTGCAGAATATCAGTCTGTCCCTGATGTTTTTCCTGGAGAGAAGTGGCTTCCTCGCTGCCTTTCTTGACACCAGGGCCATCCTCCAAAAGTATTTGCCTCACTGTGCGTGCAGATGCACTCATACCTGCCTGCTGCCATTCCTGAGCAAGCTCTGCACTGGTGGTGCCCCGATCCTGCAGCTGAATCAACTTTAGGAGACGGTCCTGGCGCTTGCTGGACTTTCTTGGGCGCCCTGAAGCCTTCTTCACAACAATTGAACCTCTCTCCTTGAAGTTCTTGATGATCCGATAAATGGTTGATTTAGGTGCAATCTTAGTAGCAGCAATATCCTTGCCAGTGAAGCCCTTTTTGTGATGACGGCACGTGTTTCCTTGCAGGTAACCATGGTTAACAGAGGAAGAACAATGATTTCAAGCACCACCCTCCTTTTAAAGCTTCCAGTCTGTTATTCTAACTCAATCAGCATGACAGAGTGATCTCCAGCCTTGTCCTCGTCAACACTCTCACCTGTGTTAAGGAGAGAATCACTGACATAATGTCAGCTGGTCCTTTTGTGGCAGGGCTGAAATGCAGTGGAGATATTTTGGGGGGGGTTAAGTTCATTTTCATGGCAAAGAGGGACTTTGCAATTAATTGCAATTCATCTAATCACTCTTCATAACATTCTGGAGTATATGCAAAGGACGTTGGACTGTCAGATGGTGAACCGTGATTCATCACTCCAGAGAACGCGTTTCCACTGCTCCAGAGTCCAATGGCGGCGAGCTTTACACCACTCCAGCCGACACTTGCCATTGTGCATGGTGATCTTAGGCTTGTGTGCGGCTGCACGGCCATGGAAACCCATTTTGTGAAGCTCCCAATGAACAGTTATTGTGCTGACGTTGCTTCCAGAGGCAGTTTGGAACTCTGTAGTGAGGGTTGCAACCTTTTTTACGCGCTTCAGCACTCGGCGGTCCCGTTCTGTGAGCTTGTGTGGCCTACCACTTCGTGGCTGAGCCGTTGTTGCTCCTAGACTTTTCCACTTCACAATAACAGCACTTACAGTTGACCGGGGAAGCTCTTGCAGGGCTGAAATTTGACGAACTGACTTGTTGGAAAGGTGGCATCCTATGACGGTGCCACATTGAAAGTCACTGTGCACTTCAGTAAGGCCATTTTACTGCCATGGTTTGTCCATGGAGATTGCATGGCTGTGTGCTCGATTTTATACACCTGTCAGCAATGGGTGTGGCGGAAATAGCCGAATCCACTAATTTGAAGGGGTGTCCACATACTTTCAAATATATAGTGTAGATGTTCACTCTTTCTTCTGCAACTAATGTTCACTCATTATTTGGTTAAAACAGAAAAGGAATTTCACCCTATATTTTTTGTGTAAGGCTTGATGTTACAGACCCAATTTAATGTTGTCTAATCTAGAAATGTAGAATTTGAGCATTACTTTGGAGCATATCATTAACCAGGTTTCCATCCAAACATTTAATGCGATTGAATTACCTGACGCATGAAAAAAGTCACAACCGGGCTGATGGAAACAGGATGTGCCGGTACAATTTTATAAACGGCGACAGACTATTTGTTCACTCGACATGGTGGAGTCTTTTTGTGTCGGTAAAATTGATTATGCGAGAAATGGCGGTGGATACGCCTTTATGCGCAAATATTGATGTAATAACCATCATATCGAAATAAACGTATGTTGTGTGGTCCTCCCATTACGACTCGGGGAAAGCATGCAGTTTATTAGGCTACAGATGAATTTAAAATGATGATGAACTTCACAGGGTGGTGAAAGTGCAAGGTGAAAAGGTTGATGCTCCTTTCCAATAAATATCAAGGGTCTTATTCTGATGACATGATGATCGATGCTTGGCTGCCGTTTTGACAAATACAAATAATAATCTGGTAATGTGGGTAGCCGACCCACACTGTTGGGTAAAGTGCACGTGCCAAGATCAGAGTGGGCACCCTCGCTATATAACCAACAGTTTTTGTGACAAAAGTTATTTTTATGTGCACTATGTCATCACGCACAGCCTTTTATCCGCAACAAGTCATTTTGATGGAAACGCATCTCTGGTGGTAAATGCGCATATTGTTTTATGGCGATCTTAAAATATTCTCATCAAAATCTGTTGCAAATTGGATGGAACCTAGCTATTTAGTGTAATTTTGTATTCTGCCTACATTTCTGTCAGTCAACCCTTTTTAAATGACATTTAGTCTTTGGCATGCATAATGTAATTTGCTAACGTCTACGTCCTCTTGTCTGCTCAGGTTCTGTGAGTCCCCCACCAGTGACTTGGAGATGAGGAAGGGCCGGGGCAAGAGGATGAGACCCAACAGCAACACACCCGTCAACGAGAACAGCAACTCCTCGGACAACAAGGGCAGCGGCACCAGCAAGACGCGTGCTGCCAACAACAACAACAGCAAGGGCCGGCGGGGCAGCCAGACGTCGTCAGAGCGCCGCACGCCGCCCAACAGCAACACAGAGGACGTCAAGGCCAGCCCCTCGTCAGCCAGCAAGCGCAAGTCCAAACCCGCCTCCGACATGGAGCCCAACTCCAGCTCTGAGGACACCAAAGGCAACAAGCGCATGCGCACCAACTCCAACAGCGGAGGAGGAGGGGTGCCTCCTCCAATCCTTCCCCCCGTCCCCTCTGTTAAAACTGAGCCCCAGCCCCCGACGCTCGACCGCAACTGCCCCTCGCCGGTCCTCATCGACTGCCCGCACCCCGGCTGCAACAAGAAGTACAAGCACATCAACGGACTCAAGTACCACCAGGCACGCGCCCACAACGACGACGAGGACATCAAGCTGGACCTGGATGGGGACAGTGAGTACGGGGAGGACTCCACGCTTCACCCTGAGCCGGGGAACTGCAACGGGGCCTCCAGCTCTCACAAAGGCTGCCTGTCTCCTGCACGGTCCGTCACCCCCAAAGGCAGGGGTTTTGACTGCCAGAGTCCGTCCCCTTCCCCGGGCAAGTTTAGTTCCAAACAGAGTAAAAAGAAGGGTGGTGACGCTGACCCTGAAGCAAGCGGCACGCCAATGGAAGGCTGCGACGACGCGCCCTGTCTCACCGACGAGGCCAGCAATGACGGCATGGAAAAGTCCAAGTCTCACAAAAAGTCCAAGACCGACAAACCTTCTCAGAAGAACATGAAGTCATCATCCCGGCCCGTACCCCCAGGGAGCTTAGCCTCCCAGCAGCTCTACTCCCTGCAGGCCTCCTCTTTCCCTGCAGGGGGGAACCCCAATGCCTCCTTAGGGATGCCCCCTATGATGCAGGGTGTCCCCAAAAGCCCCCAGATGAAGGGCGCCCAGCCCCCCAAACCCCCCGCCGCGATGGGAGACCCTGCCGCTCTGAACCCTGCTTCCGGTGCTTCAAAAGAGAAGAAGAAGAAGGAGAAGAAGAAGAAAGAGAGTGGGAAGGAGGCAGACAGTCCCAAGCCTCTGGGGAAAGGGGGGAAACCAGAGGAGGGCAAGAGCCCCTACTCTGAGTCCTCGGAGCCGGGCAAAGGAGACGGGCTCCTTAACGGCTCCTCGGACCCCCACCAGAGCCGTCTGGCAAGCATCAAGGCCGAGGCGGATAAGATCTACAGCTTCACCGACAACGCCCCCAGTCTGTCCATAGGGGTGGCCAGCCGGATAGACGGCACGGGAATGCCTCAGCCCCTCACGCCCCTCCACGTGGTCACCCAGAATGGTGGCGGAGCCGACAACTCCTCGGTCAAGACCAACAGCCCGGCGTACTCGGACATCTCAGACGCAGGGGAGGACGGCGAGGGCAGACTAGTGGAAGGGGTGAAGGTCAAGGTGGAGGACCAAGGCATCAGAGAAGGAGCCAAGAAAGCCCTGTTCCCCAACCAGACGCCCAACAAGGAGTCTCCGTACTACGCCGGCTACGAGGCCTACTACTCACCCAACTACACCTGCCCCAGCCCCGGTGCCGCCAACCCGGGCATGCCGCACAGCGAAAGTCCGGTGGTGAAAGTGAAGCGTGAGGACGACCAGGAGCATGTGGAGGACAAGGTCAAAGTGGAGCCTCACGAAGAGCGCAAACTCGAGATGAACGCCTCCAGTCAACAACATCATCATCAACAACAACAACAACAACAACAACAACAACAACAGCAGCAGCAGTCAGTCATTCAACAGCGCTCCAACATGTACATGCAGCCTCTCTACTACAACCAGTACGCCTACGTTCCCCCGTACGCCTACCACCCGGACCAGGCCTACCACAACCACCTGCTCAACACCAACCCGGCCTACCGGCAGCAGTACGAGGAGCGCCAGCGCCAGGTGCTCTCCGAGCAGCACCGGGCGGCAGTGGCGGAGAAGAAGAGCTCTGACGTGGCGGCCATGAAGGAACGCGAGGCCTCCATGAAGGAGGAGTGGAAGCAGAAGGCCTCTGGGCCGCCCACTCTCTCAAAGGCGCCCAGCAAAACAGACAGCCTGGCCAACAAGACCCAACAGAACCAGGGTAAGACCAGAGACTCTCCCTCGGAGCCCTCCAAGGCCTCTGCCACAGGCCTGAAAGGAGAGGTATCCAAGTCCGAGGGGCTGAAGATGAAGCTGAGCGAAGGGGGGCACCATGGGAAGGAGGACTCCAAGCCAGGACTGGACACCAGAGCGGGGATAGAACAAGCCATGTGGTACAGACAGGTAAAAAGAAAAAACTATTATATTTCATACTTGTATGTGTTCTTATATTCTATTATTTGTACATATTTTATGTGAATTAATGCAGTGTAATGTGGTGATTGACGTTAATTTTAGATCATGTTTAGATCACTTGTAGCCCTTCTAGAGAGTTGTGTAGTTGTTTGGGAGAGGAAGCCCTGAGTTAACTCCTTCCCACCTTCTGTCACCCCAAGCAGACCCAGCAGGAGGACGAGCTCCAGCAGCAACAACCACCGCGGTGGAAAGACGAGCGAGACAGAGAGCGAGAGCGGGACCGTAAAGGAAAGGATGACAGGCCCAGCAGGCCCAAGGAGAGTGGTGGTCCCAAAGAGGAGGATGGCGCTGGTCCCAAAGAGGGCACAGACCCCCGAACGTCTTCCACTGAGGACCACCGGGCCATGGGCAAAGACCCTCGCGCCAATGCCCACATGCAGTTCTCCTCGGCCCTGGCGCAGCATCAGGGATACATGCCCTACATGCATGGTTACCCTTATGGGCAGGGCTATGACCCCAGCCACCCCGGGTACAGAGGCATGCCCACGGTCATGATGCACAACTACCCAGGTAACCAGATCAACTATTGGTATAGAAAGGAACCACTTGGGGGAAAGCGCATTTGCCCAAAAAATCTCTATACACTATACAATGTTTTAAATATTAAGCCATAAATGGAATTAACACAATGACCTGTCCCCCCCCCTGTTAGGTTCCCCCTACCTGCCCGCAGGCTACCCGTTCTCACCTTACGGCGGCAAGATGGCCGGAGGTGAGGAGGAGGCGAGGGGAGGTGACAAGTCGCGCGCCAGCCCCACGGTGAGCAGCAAAGCGGTGGACTCCAAGGCCCTGGACATCCTGCAGCAGCACGCCAGCCAGTACAAGAGCAAGTCCCCCACAGTGGGCGACAAGCCGTCCCATGAGAGGGACAGGGGAGAGAGGACTGGCGGGGAGAGGGAACGAGAGAGGGACATGGAGCGGCCACGCTCCTCGCCCTCCCAGCGCATCATGCCCTCCCATCACCACCTGGGCTACCCGCTGCTCTCGGGCCAGTATGATCTGTCCTGCACCACAGGTCAGCCTCAGCCAATCACCACTCTCACTGTTATGACTGGCGGGGTTCTCAGAAACCCTGACTGATGTACCAACCCTGACTGATGTACCAACCCTGACTGATGTACCAACCCTGACTGATGTACCAACCCTGACTGATGTACCAACCCTGACTGATGTACCAACCCTGACTGATGTACCAACCCTGACTGATGTACATACATTTTCCACCTCGCACAGGTCTCTCGTCATCAGCTATTGTTGCCAGTCAGCAAGCCGCAGCCCCTTCCCTCTACCCCCCGGCGCGGAGATGAAAACGGTAAAGCCCCTAGACAGACAGACAGACAGACGGACGGACACTGGGGTCAGACAGACAGACAGACACTGGGGTCAGACAGACAGACAGACACTGGGGTCAGACAGACAGACAGACAGACAGACAATGGGGTCAGACAGACAGACAGACACTGGGGTCAGACAGACAGACAGACAGACAGACAGACACTGGGGTCAGACAGACAGACAGGCGCTGGGGTCAGATGTGGCCTTTTGGACAGAAAGCGTGGGAGGAAAAGATGTAGACATGCAGTACTTTGACAACCCATAGCTTCTATGCTTCATTGCATATGATAAATGATGCTTTCCTTCTTTACCATCGCACTGACTTAGTACTACTGTCCTGTATAACAGTCTGATACACAGCTCCCTGGGAAAATACTTAGTACTACTGTATAACAGTCTGATACACAGCTCCCTGGGAAAATACTTAGTACTACTGTCCTGTATAACAGTCTGATACACAGCTCCCTGGGAAAATACTTAGTACTACTGTATAACAGTCTGATACACAGCTCCCTGGGAAAATACTTAGTACTACTGTCCTGTATAACAGTCTGATACACAGCTCCCTGGGAAAATACTTAGTACTACTGTCCTGTATAACAGTCTGATACACAGCTCTCTGGGAAAATACTTAGTACTACTGTCCTGTATAACAGTCTGATACACAGCTCCCTGGGAAAATACTTAGTACTACTGTGCTGTATAACAGTCTGATACACAGCTCTCTGGGAAAATACTTAGTACTACTGTATAACAGTCTGATACACAGCTCCCTGGGAAAATACTTAGTACTACTGTCCTGTATAACAGTCTGATACACAGCTCCCTGGGAAAATACTTAGTACTACTGTATAACAGTCTGATACACAGCTCCCTGGGAAAATACTTAGTACTACTGTATAACAGTCTGATACACAGCTCCCTGGGAAAATACTTAGTACTACTGTATAACAGTCTGATACACAGCTCCCTGGGAAAATACTTAGTACTACTGTCCTGTATAACAGTCTGATACACAGCTCCCTGGGAAAATACTTAGTACTACTGTATAACAGTCTGATACACAGCTCCCTGGGAAAATACTTAGTACTACTGTCCTGTATAACAGTCTGATACACAGCTCTCTGGGAAAATACTTAGTACTACTGTATAACAGTCTGATACACAGCTCCCTGGGAAAATACTTAGTACTACTGTCCTGTATAACAGTCTGATACACAGCTCCCTGGGAAAATACTTAGTACTACTGTCCTGTATAACAGTCTGATACACAGCTCCCTGGGAAAATACTTAGTACTACTGTCCTGTATAACAGTCTGATACACAGCTCCCTGGGAAAATACTTCGTACTACTGTCCTGTATAACAGTCTGATACACAGCTCTCTGGGAAAATACTTAGTACTACTGTCCTGTATAACAGTCTGATACACAGCTCCCTGGGAAAATACTTAGTACTACTGTCCTGTATTACAGTCTGATACACAGCTCCCTGGGAAAATACTTAGTACTACTACTGTCCTGTATAACAGTCTGATACACAGCTCCCTGGGAAAATACTTAGTACTACTGTCCTGTATAACAGTCTGATACACAGCTCCCTGGGAAAATACTTAGTACTACTGTATAACAGTCTGATACACAGCTCCCTGGGAAAATACTTAGTACTACTGTATAACAGTCTGATACACAGCTCCCTGGGAAAAATACTTAGTACTACTGTCCTGTATAACAGTCTGATACACAGCTCCCTGGGAAAATACTTAGTACTACTGTATAACAGTCTGATACACAGCTCCCTGGGAAAATACTTAGTACTACTGTCCTGTATAACAGTCTGATACACAGCTCCCTGGGAAAATACTTAGTACTACTGTCCTGTATAACAGTCTGATACACAGCTCCCTGGGAAAATACTTAGTACTACTGTATAACAGTCTGATACACAGCTCTCTGGGAAAATACTTAGTACTACTGTCCTGTATAACAGTCTGATACACAGCTCTTCTGGGAAAATACTTAGTACTACTGTCCTGTATAACAGTCTGATACACAGCTCCTCTGGGAAAATACTTCTACTGTACGTCTGATACAGTCTGATACACAGCTCTCTGGGAAAATTACTTAGTACTATGTCCTGATAACAGTCTGATACACAGCTCCCTGGGAAAATACTTAGTACTACTGTCTGATAACAGTTCTAATACACGCTCCCTGGGAAAATACTTAGTACTACTGTCCTGTATAACAGTCTGATACACAGCTCTCTGGGAAAATACTTAGTACTACTGTATAACAGTCTGTACAACTTCTGGGAAAATACTTTTTGTCCTTATAACATCTATACACGCTCTCTGGAAATCTTTGCCTTTACTTTTAAGTCTGGTTCGAATCCGCTCTGTCGCCGCCGGCCGCGACGGGAGACTCATGGGGGCGCACATTGGCCCACGTCGTCCGGTAGGGAGGAATGGCCGCAGGATGTAGCTCAGTTGATAGAGCATGGCGTTTGCAACGCCAGGGTTGTGGGTTCGATTCCCACGGGGGGCCAGTATATATATATATATTTTTTTATGTATTCACTAACTGTAAGTCGCTCTGGATAAGAGCGTCTGCTAAATGACTTAAATGTAAATGTAAATAACAGTCTGATACACAGCTCCCTGGGAAAATACTTCGATATAGACCAGACTGTGCTAGCTAGAAGCCTTTGTATGCAGCAGCAACAGCTCTTATGCCTTCAGTTCAGTTGTTCATCCTAATCGGAGCGGCAGGTAGCTTAGTGGTTAAGAGCGTAGTGCCAGTAACCGAAAGGTCGCTGGTTCTAATCCCCGAGCCAACTAGGTGAAAAATCTGTCTGTGCCCTTGAGCAAGGCACTTAACCCTAATTGCTCCTGTAAGTCGCTCTGGATAAGAGCGTCTGCTAAATGACTAAAATGTAAATGTAAAATCAGGGAGGACAGCAGCAGAGCCCAGTGAATCACAGTGGTGATACTGTGGTAATAGACGTGGTGTCCGCAGTGGGATCGACCGTGTTATCACAGGCTGCCCTGACCTCTAGTGGCAGAGCTCTGTTATCACAGGCTGCCCTGACCTCTAGTGGCAGAGCTCTGCCTTGTTTCTGGACCTCTGGACTTCTGTATTTGGCTCCTCAGCTTGCTATTCAAGTGTAAAATGTCACTCAAGTAGACATCACAGTGGTCAAAACAACTGCATTTAAATATTTTAGCGATTTTACATTTTGAACTAATATTGTAATTTACCATAGTAGTGATACTAATCATTATATTGGGTAATCTACATGTCTTGAACATGGTTTTGAACGTGAATTAAACCAACCGTTTTCTGTCTCTTTTGTGTCATTGCCACAGGGAGACGTGACCGGCACCTCACCACCCTGCAAAGATTCATGTGACTGGCTCACATGAGGAAGCCCTCGGCTCCGAGTCCATTTTAGACATCAGTTGAATGGTGTTTCTATATTTTTAGTTCTCTGCCTGAATGTCCGGCAGATTTTTATTCTTCTTCTCCTAGCATCATCTCTCTTCCTCGGTTCCCTCCGGCCCCACCGTGGACTAGGACTGACCACGCCCAAGGTTCAAAGCCATCACTCTCTGCCCACGTGCACCCCACCGCTGATATCTATCGGTCTTTGCACTGTTGATGAACAAACACATGCAAAAATAGACCAACTGACTGCCTGAAAAGCTGAAAAGGTGTTTTGACTGCTTAGTTATTTTTTTGTCCCTTGCAGAACGGGGCAGGGGGTTGGGTGGCTGGAGGGATGATGGGGGAGGGGTCAAACTAAAATAAAGACTGACAAAACTAAACAAGTGAATCATGTTGAAATGTTTGAACTTGCTGTCGTTGGCCTGTTGTACGCAATGTGCCAGTATATCCTGACTATTGTCATTAGTAGGTTTACTGTGTGTGGTGAGATGAAGCTTGAGGGGAGCTGCTCAACCTCTTCAGACTTCTATAGGTGTTGAAGGGTTTGTTTTCTCCTCCCTCAACCAGACATTTGCTCACTTAACCTCCTCTTGGTTCACTTTTCAGGGATAGACATAATTATTGTGTGAAGGGAACACATTCACCTCAATACAGTTCATGTTTTGTGTTTTCCTGACATTTGTATTGTTCATTTCACGGCATGAGTGACTTTTTTCAGTTAATTTGATTCCTCCCCACTTCCCAATCCATCCTTTAATGTGTTTTTGATATGCCAGTCTTACTTCACTGAATCAACCAAACCACACGCATACCGTGGCTCAGTCTGATCAATATTGCACTGACTGATGGACAGTTGTAACCATGGTTTCTGTTCAGAAGTGTAGAGCTGTTTGTTACCTCAGAACACTGGGGATCATCTACTGAAGAGGTCGGCCATTTTCACCTGTCAGCCTACCGTACAGTACTGGTCCTTCAATCGGCACAGCAAATGGACCAGCTCCTTATCCTGTCAATTTCCATGGAGGAAGTATCAAACAACTGATTGCAGAGGAGGAGGAGGAGGAGGAAGGATGCACAACGTAAAGTCAAGGCAGAACCAGGGAGGAGCGGCGCCCGACCATACAACACACAACCAACCACGCACATCTGGCTGCTAGCTCACAGAGCGACCCCATCCCGTCAGCAACACCACCTGTGTGGGCAGCGCTTCACTCCTACATATCCTTGCCTTAGGAACCCTTCCCTTGGTATTACAGTAGTGCAGCACTGAGCCAATGGGGGAGCCCCAGTTGATTCAACCAAGCCTGGCCAATGTCTGGCCCTCCTATCACTGGGTGGCCCCTCAGGTGACAACTGCCAGAGACTGTTACATGGTCACATTACAGCTGGGAGCCCCTCAGTAGAGGAACATCACCTGTCTTGACTCCCACTCCCCTCATTCAACCCCCTCTCTCCCACTCCCCTCATTCAACCCCCTCTCTCCTCTTCTCCACTCCCTCATTCATTTCACCCCTCTCTCCACTCCCACTTCATTCAAACAAACCCCTCTCACTCCTCATCACCCCTCTCCCCCCTCATTCAACCCCCTCTCTGCCACTCACCTCATTCAACCCCCTCTCTCCCACTCCCCTCATTCAACCCCCTCTCTCCACTCACCTCATTCAACCCCCTCTCTCCCACTCCCCCTCATTCAACCCCCCCTCTCTGTCCACTCAACCCCCTCCTCATTCATTCAACCCCCTCTCTCCCACTCCCCTCATTCAACCCCCTCTCTCTGCCACTCACCTCATTCAACCCCTCTCTCGCCCTCATCCCCTCATTCAACCCCTCTCCTCCCACTCCACCTCATTCAACCCCCTCTCCATCTCTCACCCACTCACCTCACATTCAACCCCCTCTCTCCCACTCACCTCATTCAACCCCCTCTCTCCCACTCACCTCATTCAACCCCCTCTCTCCCACACGCCTCATTCAACCCCCTCTTGCTTGCTCTCAAAAGATTAATTCTATCACTATGATGATTGGTATTAGTTAATGGGCTCCTGCTTTGGGATCTCTGAGAAACAAAGATATGTGTGATACAGTATAACAGTGACATTAGAAACCAGGGGACTCGCTGTGGAAACCAAGGCAAACTGCAGGGATCATAGCCTCTGCCTGGACCTAGGTTGGTCAAAGAATGGCAGGACAACCAGGCTGGGATAGAAGTGATGGGATGGAGGGTTCGAAGGTCCTCCTTGACTTGGAAGAGGAGGACATGAAGGGGGAGTGTAGTATCTATCAGACCAGTGGGGCGGTAGGGGTTTTGGAGATGAGGACGGGGTGTATATCAAAAGTTGTTTCAAAACAGTCACAGTGATCTTAGGTTGTTCTTAACCTGTTATTTATTCAAGAACCCTTTTTGAAGAAGAGCTAGGGATGCTGGATGAACTCTTGAGTTGAGAAGCTTAGTTTAACCTTTTGTGTCCATTTAAGCCAGGAGCCATGCAAGTATACCTCTGGTGTGGTATAGCACTTAAAACACAACACAATGTCCTCCCCTCCACTAATGCAGGCGCTGCAAAAAGACTCATTTACATTTACGTCATTTTGCAGACGCTCTTATCCAGAGCCACTTACACATTGGTGCATTCACCTTATAGCCAGCTCCTTTCCTATTCACACAAAGTAGTCGCTATACAGTGTATAGAAAAGGCTTCATACGGTGCGTGAGACGGAGTCGGTGAGAGTGAAGCTAAACCAGTCATTAAAAGTGAAAGATGTATATTTTATTTTTTATATTTTCAGGGAGAGGTACTTCCGCCATACAAACAAGGCTTGTTGACGGTCAGGCCTGTAAGAAACAAAAGTTGAATGTTCCAGAAGTCAACATACTGCTGGCCAGAACATTATCACGATTGTCAGGTAGCTTCTTAGTTTTTTGTTTTTTACAGTATTGAAGAACATATATACACCTCTATCTCACTAACTTGAAACTGCAAGCTTGGTGATGAATCCCCTGGTAAAGGACTAGGACAGTTAACATATTAGTCTCATTGTGTTGCTGGTTTCTTGTCCACGAGTGTCAGCGTTCTTAAATTGAACGGTGTTCTGACCTGTATATCTGAATGTGACCGTGTTTGAGATGTCCTGTACAGCTAATATCTAATAGAAATATAGGCCGCTGTGATGTTGTCTGACGCGTCAGTGGAGTGTAATTTCTACATGTCACTAGCAGGTGGTGTAAGAACCGCTTTCCACTACACTGGAGGAAGAGACTAGTGCATCGCTCCAGAGGACAGGGATTTAGACTTGGTAGTAGGTTGAATAAGAATCATATTGCCTTGGGGGTATGATAAAGCCACACAAGCGTACTTGCTATCCAGCCACTTAAAGGAAAAAGCTCTTGATTCTGTGTTATTTTTGGAGGACTTCCTTTCTTTGTTAGCTACTCTTTGATTTAGTTGTTTTTTGTTCTCCAGAAAGGCAGTTGCTTCAGTCATCTCAATTGGTGCTTATAAAAACATCCTTTATCCCTTGGGAACAAAGACACTCTTTCCGACATCTTAAATGACCAGAGCATGTCTCGTCTCCCTCCTCACCTCCCTCACGGGCCTCTCTCTCTCTCGAAACCCTCAAAGTATCAGTCACTGGTACCTGTAAGGATGTTTACAACGGTTTTCATTTCTATGGTTGAAGCCTGTCTCCTGTGGTCTCACCCCTTCCATCCCTCTCCTCCTCCTCCTCCATCCTCCCCTTCAGGACTTTATGGAAAGTGTGCATTACCACCACAGTTCTTTTTTTTTTTTATACAATACTGTAATTTGCCTTTGTACATTTGGGCGAAAAAATAAATCTTTTTATAAGACAATCATATCTGTTATATCTGAGTGTCTTGCTTCATTCTGACATGTCATTATCAGGGGTTGGAAGTGGGACAGCTAAATAATAGCTATTGCATATGTTGCGAAATTATTTTGTTTATCAAATGCGTGTCAATGCTTCTTCTTCATTAAGTTGAATGTCAATACTCAACAGACTTCCGTTAATATGATCAAATACATGAAGATATGATACTACAGTGTGTTGACTTGGCACGGTTTCTCAACAGCTGGTTACAGGACCAGCACTGGCCCCTGGGATGTTGCTGATTGGTCCCTTACAGGGATGTATTAAAGCAATGAGCTCAAATAACCACTAGAGGGTTATCTTCCCAAATAATTGAGAAGTAGGTATTATGCAAATTATCCATATAGAACGTCATAATACGCACCAGTAACAAAAGCCTCCATTGACCTAAACAATTTACATAAACTTACCTCAATGTGAAATTCAAGGCTTTCTAAAAGTTTGAGGCTTAGTACAAAGAACATTTTGAGAACATTTTCATTGTCTATCCCCACTTCATCCATACTTCAATGCACCTTTCACCTTTTGGTAAACCTTTCAAATGTGTAGTTTGTCTTAATGGCTGCTGAACCAGCCCAGCCAACAGTTAGGACATTTTCCTAAATGCCCCCAAGTGCCTTCTGCCCATCCAGGGTGCTCCGCGTGCAACAACGTGATGATTCTGCTGTAACAGCGGGGGAGAGATTATGCAAGGATGATTTTGTTCAGTGTAAATGTGAAATCTGATTATCCCCTGTGTTCCCAGTGGCGGAGGGAGAGCGTAAGGTCCGGGGGGAGGTGGGTGAGAGGGGTTAGCTAGAGGAGAGAGGGTGTTGAGGGGGGTGGAGATGTGCTGAGGCAATGGCTTTTACAGCAGGCGCCTGGGAGTAGGAGGAGCAGGGTAGAGACTCACTGGCAGGGACAACGCGGGACGCCACGGTAGTACGCAGCGGAAGCTCCTCTTGCTCTGCGACGACGAGGGTGCGGGCAGCCGACAGCGCAGGGGTTAATGGGATGCACTATCTACGCAGCCAGCCCTGAGGCCCTGCCAGGCGAAGAGGCCACAGGCCGGGACCACCGACACCACCACCACCGACCCCATGTTCCCTGCAACCAGAAGATAGCAGCCAGGTCAGTCAGCCCCGTTACCTGCACTGTCAGTCAGCCCTGTTACCTGTTTACTTTATTTGGTGAGGAAATACTTGGGTCGGTTTCTCTGACCCAGATTAAGATCATTCCTGGTCTAAAAAGCACTTTTGATGGAGATTCTCCATTGAACCCAGTAGTAGCCGTATTTTGGGTTGGAGAAACTATCCTGTACAGTCCACAGACATATGGAACAACGGCGGGATTTCCCCTCCTGTGGAGGTATGTGTTATGACTTCCCTGAACTGAGATGCAACTTCTATTTACTTGATGTCCCTTTTCCCCTGAACCTCAGAGCTGTGGAATATCCACCTTCTATACTCCTACTAGCAAAGAAGGTCTATGCTAGCCTCTTCTCTACAAGTACTAGGATGCTCACAGCACACAGGCAGGTGTTGTGTATTCACGGTGTAAGCCGTGCCTGTCCTCTACGTTGACTTTATTCACCCCTGACGTTGTTCCATGATTAATAGATCTCAAGGGTGTGTGTGTGTGCATCAGTGGCAACAGAAAGGTCAAAGGATATCAGAGACTCAGCTCATGTTTTATGTTAGTCAGTTAGCCTATAAGCATTGGTAGGAGTCAATTGGATAGAAGGAATACAGTAACAGTATGAAACCGGTCCAGTGCAGAAAATAATATTAGCAGGATGGAAAGTAAAATAATGTAATGGTAGTGATGGTATGGAGTTCCTAAGAGGATGGAATTGCTATTAGCGGGATTTTCAGCACCAGTGATCTTTGCACAGTGCCCTCCCTGCAGGAGCTAGATAACACCAATATGCAGTGTTATTCAAAATAACGTTTTTTAACAGACTGTTACAAACCAAATACAGTTATATTTGGGGGCCTTAGGCCTACTCAGGAAACTTATCTGGCATTTTATTGGTTTATAATTGATTGAACTCATACATGGATTTATCAGTTGTATTACCATTATTGAAGTTGATTGACTTTACTTGAAAAGGCTACTGTAGGTGGCCTAATGTGCTTTGCTTACACCACTCATTAGGGTAAAAAGGTGCAGTTACGTGTTACGTTCTGCCTTGGAATATAAGGTTTAAATTGCATTCGGTTTTTATTATGATCAGTACAACCGAGCGTAATCGCACGATTAGGTTACTTTAAATCCGTTGATCAAAGCTTTACCAAGCCATGCATGACACGGTGGTGGTGTATTCTCAACCCACCTCACGGATTCCCTGCGCAACAAGTTGACACACAGTCCAGTGTTTCTTGTCTCGCAGCATGCCTCGTTGCCTCGAATTGTGTCATTTTTCGCAATTCACTTTCTCTTTTCACATGGACATTTCGCTATAGCTACTTTGCGACATGTGAAGCTGTGGCTGGTACCAACTCAACCTTGCGGAGGACATGACCGTTACCTTGGATGAATAAAATAAGACGACTAACCTACCTGTGCAGCGGTACGTTGGCGGAAGGTTGTTCGTTAAGGCAAAGATTGCGTAAGTCTCATCACTAGAGTTTGTCGTCTATTTTTTTTATTGACAGTTGTTGTCAAAAGCATAACAAGTTGTTGATAATGAACGTAGGCCCTAATGTACGTACCTCATAGGTATGAAGTAGGGCAGCCTGTATATGCAGGTTATTAGCCTAGTTTCTAAATCAATTGGAGCAGTCCCGCCAATAACCTCAAATGATTGTATACCTTGGGTTTTCTTTATCACAGCCTACAGGCTTATAACTGTATCAAAAAATATATCACATTTATTTTATGTATCACATTTTAGCCTCTACTTTATATATTTAGTCCTCACGGAGTGACAATCCTACAACATATTTGTTTCAGAAAATTATTTGAAGCTCTCATTTGTAAACAATGTAGGTACAGAATGCTACTTGTTTTACAAAACGTTTTTTGGTTATAATAAGGGTAGACAGTTATACTAATGCCATTTGCGTATTTGAGTCATATTCTTCAAAAACCAAGGGTTATATTTAATTAGTTCTGGAAATCTTAGACTGTGTGGCTTTAAATCTATATAAGCGTCAGTGACGACATGTCTACGCTTGTTTACTGTAGACAGTAGCCTGCCTAATCAGAGCCATTTGAAGGGGCACAGTGATGTCACCCTCTACACTCACGTTTGCTTGGAAGGAGCCCTCATTATAGCTCTTTGAAATTCAATTCAAATTGCTTTTTTTTTTTTTTTTTTTTTCCTGTAAGGGAACTTTGTGTGGTGACACAACAACACAGAACACAAAAACATGTAGGCTACAGTATAAATGCAAGCAGACGTGTCAAACAAAACATGTTGCAAATGATCTGGCCTTGCAATACAAGCACATGCTGTCTGATTCTGTAGAGTAGCTATTCAACTCACAAACAGGATATTGACCAACCTCTACTCATATTGTCATCATGTTTATCTTGTGAGAGAACAGGTCCAGAGAACAGGTCCATGGTGCCTGCATAGTCTACAGTCTCCACTTGTAGTGTAGCAGTGTGGATACATTATCTCACAGGCCAAAGTCCTCCTTTGTGTTATGGTTTCATAGACAACTACCAGCATCACAATATGCCTGATCTTAGTCCATATGTACAGGTATAAATATGGACTAGCCCTCATGACCAATAAGAATGGAGTCTGTAGCCATATCGGGGACTAGGCCATATCAGGACCACAATAGGACAACCCAGCTTCAGCCAATTATGCAAAGCATGCTGTTTTCAGATGCAGGTGGCAGCTACAGTACTAGGGCCCCTATTAAATCACACTCCACTTCCTCCCTCACCATGACTAAGCACAACCGTGTAATTAATAGGCCACCTGACTGCAGGTGTTCAGCTTGAACGAGCCCATTGGTTTGCACTGCTGTGGTGAACCATGAGAGAGGAGAAATGCCCCCTGAGGTTAAATGATAACTACCCCTGAAGGTAATGGGTCATGAGTATCATCCCTTTGGTTACTCTGAAAGACAAAACACGAAATATGACCCGGGTTGACTTATGGTTGATCACATTCTGTGTTCTTCTTAATACATGCTCTTATGGATCATTAATTGCCCATGGTTTGGCTAAGACATCAATTTGTCCAACATTGCTGACTCTTGTAAGCGTCAGCTGTTCTGGAATAGGATAGCCGAGATTGATAATGATCCTCGTTGAGGCCAGCCTCTCTCAACCCCGTCTGACCCTGAGGTAAACTGACACCACCAGACACTACCTGTGATCAAGAGGGAGCAGCACATCATAGCCTCTCCAGGTGTGAGGGGAGACCGAGAGGGAGAGAGACTTTGAGGCATAGGTTACCGCTAACTGCTTCTGGATTTTATTGGTCACAATTAACATATCAGAAGATGGATGATATGAATGGCTTCATCATCAATGAAAGATGACATGATCTGTATGTATCATTATACTGTATCATGTAATTAGCTATCATGATATACTGTATATAGAGGTTGTTGTGTTGTTTTGGCTGATTGCAACTTCTACCTGGAGCGTCATTGACGTTAACAGCCTATAACTTCCGATAGATTAGATTGTGTCCATGACTCAGACCTGTTTGTTTGCTTTCCCCCCGTCACTCTAGAGAAGACGAGGGAGGAGAACGGGAGTTGAAGGAGAAATGGTGTCCTGCCCCTTTAACAGTAGAGGTCCTAGAAACTGCAGCTAGCTTAACTAGATTACAGTTAATTAGATTGGAGGATGTCTTGTGATGGCTCTGTAGACGTGCCCTAATCAGCAGGAGGTGGAGAGGGAAGAAGGCTCACGTTTAACATTCATATATGGACAATGGTTTGGCCTATGTCACTGTTCTAAGCCAAGTCAGAGTGAGAGGACTCAGTACAAGGAGCCAAGAGGTCAGTTTGGATTCGTATTCCACAGTTCATGTGTTCTTCTAAGTATTCCGACTAGTAAACGTCTCAGATCAACATTGCTCGATGTCTCAACCACACAAACCATTTTTTAGTTTGGATAACTTGGTGCCATTTTCATGTTGTTGTTTCTGGTCATTCTGTTATAACCAAAGTTGACATTGACAAGAACTTCCCATAGCTTGTTGGCTACCAATTCTTGAAACAACGTTTTCAGGTTGTTTTTGTGTGTTTTGTTGCCATGACAGCTGCATTCACAGAACACACAGAGACTCAGTCTGCACTCTGCAACTTAAGGGAAAGTGCTCACCCCACTGTTCATTCAGACCAAGTGTGCACAACTCCGGTCCTCCAGTTCTGCTGTCCTGATGAGTTTCTGTTTGTCCAATTTGAAAACAACAAGTCACACGAAGACGAGACAAAATGTCCCTTGGTCTTCCGACTGTTCAGGGAAGGGAGGGTTTAACAGGGTATTATGGGTAAACAATGTCCACGCCAACGGGCCGTAGAATTTGGTGACATTTGCTGGAAATGATGATACCCAGCCTGAAGTTGCTCTCTCTCGGCCAGTGAAGGTTATAGGAATATTAAAGATGTCTTTAGGTCAAGAGGGATTTAAGATGCCCTCAGTTATATTCCCTAATCTGGAGCTATGATTAATTGTTTTAGTTCCCCCCCCCCATCTGCATTTAATTCTAAAAAAGTTCCCTTCTGTTTGATTTACTTTTATTGTATCATAGACACCTGTTTGCAGCTGGAATAGTTACAGCAACCAAGAAGCTATTGTTCGCCAGCGTCATCTACTTTGACTGGCTAGCCACAGTGCATTAGTAATGGACAGGTTGGGGGAGTTCTGTGGGAACCAGTGAACTATGACCTTCCGCAACAGGAAGAGGCTTTTCAGTACAGAGAAGTAATTGGTTCAGATGTAATGAACCAGGCCAACTAGAGACAATAGGTAGGAAACTCAGCATGTGGTTAATGGCCAGACTGAGTCATGGGTTTCTAGAGAACACGGAGCTATTATCAGTCAGTCACACCTGGGATTATACCGAGGATGTGGTAACTACTGCCTTTCTCCCAAAAGGGTCACGGTATCATCTAGTGTACGTGTGTAGGTGGGTTAGTGGAATGGTGTGCACGTACGTGCGTGTGTTTGGGGAGCACAAGTGGTTGCTCAACAGTGTCCAACATGAAAGAGCACGAGAAAGTCTCCCCAGACCCTGTGCACAGCTTCCATGAACCTGTGTATATTTGCTTGTATATTGCTGTAGAATCTGGATGAATGGGTATGTCCATGCATCGGCATGAGCTCTGTGAGAACACATGACACACGCCTTGAGCCAGCCAGCCTGTGGATAACTGATGACAACTCAACACTGTGTGGTCTGTGTGTTCAGGCCCAACACCATGACTGAACACCAAGAGCAGAATGAAGAGGGGGTCCTCGTCTCAACACAGGACCTGGAGCCCTCAAAACACCAGGATGCTCAAGGAGGCCATCCGCACTTCAGGTAGGCGACATGCACACGTACACTTTTTAAAAGTATCTTTGTCTATAGTTATCCCTCGGACGTCGATGAACTGGTTGGTGGCTGAATTTAAATAAAACTAGAAAGAAAGAATTTGGCCGATTTTAGTTCAACTCTCATCTTGTTTTGCTTTTTACACAGCATTATTATGAGTGTTCCGCCTCAAGTCCACAGCAACAGGTCCTCTGTATAGGCTATTTGACACAAGCAGCCAGGCAGACAGACAAAACACCCTTCAGGTCTAATGTTGTCTGATTCCTCTTTTGTCTCTGACATTCCTGCTACGGTGGGTTACAAGACAGCTACGTGAGTAAAGCTGCAGTGTGGGGATAGATGGGGCACGGTGGTGTAACCTGACTCCATGTCACGGTGGTGTAACCTGACTCCATGTCACGGTGGTGTAACCTGACTCCATGTCACGGTGGTGTAACCTGACTCCATGTCACGGTGGTGTAACCTGACTTCATGGCACGGTGGTGTAACCTGACTTCGTGGCACGGTGGTGTAACCTGACTCCATGTCACGGTGGTGTAACCTGACTCCATGTCACGGTGGTGTAACCTGACTCCATGTCACGGTGGTGTAACCTGACTCCATGTCACGGTGGTGTAACGGCCACCCTATTCCCTATATTGCCATGGGACACTGGTCAAAAGGAGTGCACTATATAGGGAATAGGATGCTCTAACTGTGGAGCTGCTGGGGCTTATATAACCAGGATCTAAGGCAGGAGGGGCATTCTAATCCTGGGGAAGCTGTCCTGGGATGGGATTTGGCAGGGTAGGCTACCGCAGTGTGTTGTGGTGTGTTCACTCTGTCATTGACTAGTGGGTGGGAACTCTGAACTGTGTTGTTCATGGGTGCGTCTCATTGGTCTACAGTGGATTTCTTTTCATGGGTGCGTCTCATTGGTCTACAGTGGATTTCTTTTCATGGGTGCGTCTCATTGGTCTACAGTGGATTTCTTTTCATGGGTGCGTCTCATTGGTCTACAGTGGATTTATTTTCATGGGTGCGTCTCATTGGTCTACAGTGGATTTATTTTCATTGGTGCGTCTCATTGGTCTGTCTCATTGGTCTACAGTGGATTTATTTTCATGGGTGCGTCTCATTGGTCTACAGTGGATTTATTTTCATGGGTGCATCTCATTGGTCTACAGTGGATTTATTTTCATGGGTGCGTCTCATTGGTCTACAGTGGATTTGGATTTATTTGCCTTATTTTCTTTCCTTCATGAATTAATGTGAAAGACAGAGAGGGGAAAGCAAGTGGCTGGCCAGTGTCCACCATGTTGCTTCACCTTTCCTATGGTTTTTGATTAATGCAGATGCTAGGTTTCTGTCCTAAAGGGATAGTTCAGCCAAATTACAAATGTAAAGGTGATAGTTAAAGAAAATACCAAAACGACACAGATGTAGGTCATGACATTGACCTCTCACCTTTGACCTCTGTGCTCTACTCTTTGTCCCATTTTCTCTTTTCTTCAGCTGAATTATTGACAGTGTATCTGTCTCCGTCTGCCTGAGGGAGCTATTCCCTTTCTAATGTATCATTCCTCAGGCTTGTAATTAGTCATGCTATTCAGCGCCGCAGCAAAGGACACATTGAGACACACACACACACACACACACACATACACACACACACACACACACTGCGGCCCCGGTTACACTTTCCACTTCTCACAGGAAGGTAAATAATGCTCCTGCATAAATCGATGTCTGTTTTGTTTTCAAGCCTGATGACTAAGGTTCAGGTAAGACAAGGGAAATAGGTGTTTGATTGATTTTTGAGCTGTTGGACTCTGCTGGACTTGAATATTGTTATTGAGATTCGTCTTGGTACCTTTATGTCTTCAAAGATCTAAAGGGACTCTTCCAGTAGTTTACTGCAGGGAAAAGGGAGATGGATGAGGAGAAGAGGAGCGAGGGAGAGAAACAGAGAACAGTGCCTGTGTTTTTCAATAACCATGCTTCCCTCCACCTGGGAACCAGACCAGCTGTTATTTATAGCCAGCCTCCAACAGGCAGACAGGCAGGCAGGCAAAGGGACAAGCTGTAGACAACAACCCACCCACCTATCTAATATGGTGCCAACCTTCTGTAGATATCAGCTTTGTTGTTCAAAATAATAAACGTGTTGCCACTACTCTTAGCACCTGTTGATGACAATAGAATTACAAAGGAAAACTAAAATGTAGAAGAGTGGAGCAAGCATATTGTCTACTGTACAATATTACAGGATAATAAGCCGTTCCGGATTGCCCCCACCGAAACTGAAATGTTGAGGAAATCAATTCAGCAGAACTCCCATGCCCATGTTTATTGTCACATCTTAATTATTTCATTGGTGCCCATAAACATTATAGAACCTTTTATAAACATTCAATCATTACAACATTGTAATAAAGAATAGATATAGCCTTGCTAAATGTTATCCATGGAAGATAGATACAGACATTCTCTGTTGACTAGAGGATTATATGAGTGAGGCAGAGCTCTGTCCCAAGAGGAGAAATTAAAACCCCCGGCTATCCTCCACAGGGTTGCTAAGATCCCCCGTTTACTGCAGATGCTTATAGAATGAAAATATTGCTTTTTCCTCAAACAACCTTGAGAGAGAGAAAGACCTTTTTATCTGTTATATTTATTTGGCTCTCGTTAGATCATGTTATTTAAAGTCAGCGACTGACTAGAAAGTCTCTCCATTGGATCAAATCAAAAACGGATCCTAAAGAGAAAAACCGGTCAACAATGCAGCCCAGATCTGAGGACCAGGATTGTGCACTTCCATACTCAAACTCAACCTAATTGTACTACAGTACTTGTGCAACAGACTGCCCCCTGATTTCAGCTCGCAGTAGGCGATGTTCTCACTAGCCCCGGGGACATTCGGCACCTTTCCTCTCACAGCCATGGTGCTCAGCTGCAAGCAGGACCTATTTTCTCTCCTCACAAACACCACAGGATATCTCAACACCTCTCAACTCTCCCTGCTGCTCAGTTAGAATGAACCAGCAGAATCAACTAGAATGAACCAGCAGAATCAACTAGAATGAACCAGCAGAATCAACTAGAATGAACTAGCAGAATCAACTAGAATGAACCCAGCAGAATCAACTAGAATGAACTAGCAGAATCAACTAGAATGAACCAGCAGATATAGACACACTTTATTTCTACACTGAGGGTGGATGGATGGATGAAAAGGCTTGCTCATTCAACATTTTGTGGTATAGCTACTGTATAAACCTGCACGCCATTTTGATTTGATTTGGGGTTTTTTCAATGCATTTTGTTTAGCTTGTTGTATGTTTGTATTCACATAATTACAAGTAGTTTGTTAAAATAGGTCAGAGTTGAGAGTACTGTGATGTCTCGTGGGAAGTTATTGGTGTATATATTGGTGTGTATGAATTAATGGTCTATATATACACTACATGACTGGTAGGGGGCGCTGTATTGAAGCCACTGTGCCTCGATCTTGGGACTCCCCCACCAGTGTACAGTGGGGAAAAAAAGTATTTAGTCAGCCACCAATTGTGCAAGTTCTCCCACTTAAAAAGATGAGAAAGGCCTGTAATTTTCATCATAGGTACACGTCAACTATGACAGACAAATTGAGAAAAAAAATCCAGAAAATCACATTGTAGGATTTTTAATGAATTTATTTGCAAATTATGGTGGAAAATAAGTATTTGGTCACCTACAAACAAGCAAGATTTCTGGCTCTCACAGACCTGTAACTTCTTCTTTAAGAGGCTCCTCTGTCCTCCACTCGTTCCCTGTATTAATGGCACCAGTTTTAACTTGTTATCAGTATAAAAGACACCTGTCCACAACCTCAAACAGTCACACTCCAAACTCCACTATGGCCAAGACCAAAGAGCTGTCAAAGGACACCAGAAACAAAATTGTAGACCTGCACCAGGCTGGGAAGACTGAATCTGCAATAGGTAAGCAGCTTGGTTTGAAGAAATCAACTGTGGGAGCAATTATTAGGAAATGGAAGACATACAAGACCACTGATAATCTCCCTCGATCTGGGGCTCCACGCAAGATCTCACCCCGTGGGGTCAAAATGATCACAAGAACGGTGAGCAAAAATCCCAGAACCACACAGGGGGACCTAGTGAATGACCTGCAGAGAGCTGGGACCAAAGTAACAAAGCCTACCATCAGTAACACACTACGCCGCCAGGGACTCAAATCCTGCAGTGCCAGACGTGTCCCCCTGCTTAAGCCAGTACATGTCCAGGCCCGTCTGAAGTTTGCTAGAGTGCATTTGGATGATCCAGAAGAGGATTGGGAGAATGTCATATGGTCAGATGAAATCAAAATATAACTTTTTGGTAAAAACTCAACTCTTCGTGTTTGGAGGACAAAGAATGCTTAGTTGCATCCAAAGAACACCATACCTACTGTGAAGCATGGGGGTGGAAACATCATGCTTTGGGGCTGTTTTTCTGCAAAGGGACCAGGACGACTGATCCGTGTAAAGGAAAGAATGAATGGGGCCATGTATCGTGTGATTTTGAGTGAAAACCTCCTTCCATCAGCAAGGGCATTGAAGATGAAACGTGGCTGGGTCTTTCAGCATGACAATGATCCCAAACACACTGCCCGGGCAACGAAGGAGTGGCTTCGTAAGAAGCATTTCAAGGTCCTGGAGTGGCCTAGCCAGTCTCCAGATCTCAACCCCATAGAAAATCTTTGGAGGGAGTTGAAAGTCCGTGTTGCCCAGCGACAGCCCCAAAACATCACTGCTCTAGAGGAGATCTGCATGGAGGAATGGGCCAAAATACCAGCAACAGTGTGTGAAAACCTTGTGAAGACTTACAGAAAACGTTTGACCTGTGTCATTGCCAACAAAGGGTATATAACAAAGTATTGAGAAACCTTTGTTATTGACCAAATACTTATTTTCCACCATAATTTGCAAATAATACTTACAGGCCTCTCTCATCTTTTTAAGTGGGAGAACTTGCACAATTGGTGGCTGACTAAATACTTTTTTCCTCCACTGTAAATGTTTTTGCCACATTTAATCTATTACATACACCCTACTGCATAATTATGTAATGTGAGCAAAACAAAAAATCTAAAACATATATACAAATATTTTCCTTAAATAACAAAAATACTTAAATGCATGTAATTTTGTCCTTGAAACATTTAATTGAAATACTGTAGAATTCCATTCATTCCTGTGGAGGACTGCTCCTACTGGGGAGTGCCAATATGGCCGACCGGTGGCTTCAAAGTCTCTCAATGGCCAATAAATGGGTTGGGGTTGTTTAGCAACAAAACCGACGTGTGTGCAACTATGGGGCTAAATAGACTGCGTTGGCTTAGATTGTTGACAACATGTAAACTATGTTTTATCTCCAATGTTTATTGAAAACATTCATATATTTGCACAATGTCTCTCATACATGGTTACAGTTGTTGGTTAGCTAGCACCTCAAAATAAGACATGGTATCAAGAACAAGATAAAACTAGCTGAAATGAGCCACCTACGATTCCCCACATGGCAGCTTCTTTTCATTGTTGGTAGCTAACTGGCCATTCAGAATCACAACAATACACAGACTTCTTCCCCATTGAAGTGTGCGCATCATTTTCAGCTAACACGTCTATACATAGCATCAGCAATCCAGGGTTTATATACGTCATTGGTATGAATACACCAGTCAGGGCTGTTTCTACCGCAGAGGTTAAGTCTAAATGTGTTGCCAGCTGACTAGCTAAATGTCCCCTGAGAGAACAATGTGATAAACTTTTCTGGGAGCCCCTCTTTCCCTATAAAGGCATTCGCATGCTTCCCAGACGAAATAGTTCAGAAGTGTTCGTGCATATTATGTGATGACATTTTCAGACGTTTTTGTTCATTTTGGACTTCGGTAAGGGTTTCTCGGCTGTTCGGACACAACATTTTTTTATTGAGGCATGCAGAAGTCGGTAGCCGAAGTCTACACTCCTTCGTCGGTGATTGGTCAACAGTAGGGATTCTTCAATAAAGTATTTGTCATTCAATGAGAGACGACGCGTTTTCATGCACATTTTTTCATTGAGAAATACTGCACCAAACATGTTAGATGTAAAATTGCGCAACTAAGATTTCCTTGGCAAAAACATCAAAATTAATGACAGATTTATTGAGTTATCTTACATTAATTCTGACTATTTTGAGGAAGTGTATACTAGCAGTACTATTGCCGCGTTTTTCTAGTTTTTCAAGCGAAGGCCTTTTATGGGAGTATGCGGGACACTTGTTCGGTTCACCAGCCGAACTGAAGCATGCTGACGCCTCTCTCTCTCTCCTCTCTCACCACTACCTCTCCCAGTCTTTCTCTCCCCTCTCACCCCCACCTCTCCCAGTCTTTCTCTCCCCTCTCACCCCTACCTCTCCCAATCTTTCTCTCCTCTCTCACCCCTACCTCTCGCAATCTTTCTCCCCTCTCTCACCCCTACCTCTCCCAATCTTTCTCTTCCCCTCTTTGTAGTTACATAAAAATCTAACTTTCTTGGCTTTAACTGTAATACAAGACAGCAGGACAAGTCAACATAGAATACCACCACTGATACTTTGACACTACCAAACTCAGCCAAATGATTATTTGCAGGTCTCTTTGCCCACTGTATGTCCTCCCCAATGAGAAGGTCATGGCAGTAGGGGGCTAATATTAGGGAAGGTCCTCCCCACTGAAAGGTCAAGGCAGTAGGGGGCTAATATTAGGGAAGGTCATCCCCACTGAGAAGGTCAAGGCAGTAGGGAGCTAATATTAGGGAAGGTCCTTCCCACTGAGAAAGTCAAGGCATTAGGGGCTAATATTAGGGAAGGACCTTCCCACTGAGAAGGTCAAGGCAGTAGGGGCTAATTTTAGGGACGGTGCTGACTAAGAGATCTAGTTGGCTTGTCACACACAGTGTCTTATGACAGGGAGAGACTTGTCTCAGGCAATCAGCAGAGGATGGTTGCCTTGGAGGAAGGACGTGTGTTTTATCCTGTGTACATCTAGCGTTGTGTACTGGCCCCTGGGTTGAATAGGGTTAGATTTGGAATGTGTCTCCAGTCCAGGCAGCGCTTTTGTTGCAGGGGCAGATTCGTCTGCGTTCGCGGCGTGCTAGTCATGTGAGCGATGGTGTGACTTACTGCCGGCAGTGCTGAGGGCATCTCCCTCATGAGCGTGTTTGAATGCCGGATTATGTGTGTGTGTGTGTTTGTTTGTGTGTGTGTGTGTGTGTTTGCTTGCTTGCACACACGTTTGTGCTTATACTTATGCTTGCTGGTCAGATGTCCGAAAGAGTGTGTGTGTGTGGGCCACTGAGTTTGCATAATGTAACTAGTCAGCCCAGTTTTAGAAAAGCACATTCACCTGCCTTTATGTGTGCCTGGCTGTGTGGGGGTGTTTGTGTGGTCGTATGTGTGGTCGCGTAGTGTTTGTTTCTGTTTGAGTGAGATACCGTATGTCTGCTTCCTTTCTCCTGTACATGTTTGTCTGGTAGCCGACCTTGAACCATGCCAACATCACTGTCACAAACGGCAGACAAATGTACAGCACTACTGTTTGATTTGATGCCGAGGTCAGAGAGTTCACAGATTACAGTTGGATCAGATGCCACAGGAAATGATTATAGGTGAAATGTCTCACTATTCTCCAACAAGATTAAGATCGAACAAATGATCCAATAGGAGTTAGTGAGAGCAATACAATCCCTGTGGACCAATGATATTCAAGATGGTGTTTTGTTGAGTCTCTCTCTGGCATGATGTATTAAAACACTAGAAGATGTCTTCTTTTCACACTATTTCCTTCTTCATTTCCTTCACAGGTTGATTGACGACCTATCATATGAAGATGTGAAGAAATGCTACAGGGGTTCGGTGAGTAGCATGTTTCCTTTCTAATGTATTATAGATTATATCTGTACCTTATTGATTTTGCATATTGCCTAACAAAGATAAGCCAATTACAGCCGAGTTGGATGCAGGCAAAGTCAATTGTCTATTTCCTATCAGAGTTAAATTCCTATACACTTTATATTGATTGACCCTTACTTCACATATGTACTGCACATTCTGGAATAAAGTTCATTTGACCTTTTTATGACCTGTGTTTCAGTTAACCCTGTCATTGCTTGCCTTTAGGAGTGGTCCTTTGAGGAGTTTCCTAATAGCGAGGGTGGCCGAGGCTAAGCTACAATTTAAAAGAGGCATTGCGATCCTGAAATACAAACATGATTTAGATCTGTCCATAGACTTAGACAGATCAAGGTTTGACAGTAGCCTTGAGACTCCATAAATCATCCCACCTCGCCAATCCAGCCCCAGCAACTGATTATCTCCAGCCATAAAGATGTAATACCGGTGATTTGATTGTGTCGCTTCTGGCTCAGAGCTCAACGGTTATTCAATAGGTGAGGAGGTCATCCATTATCTCAAACCCTTTCTCTTTCGGTGAGATCAGCAGGCCATCAGGCCAGATTAAAGGAACTGTACCGTAGCTGTGATTATTATCTCCATGTCTCCCAAAGGGGCATGCTAAGTAGAGCTGCTGAGCCCCACAGTCACAGCAGCTGGCTGCACATATTAACAGGACAGGACAGATAGGAGGCAAAGACAATGACTTTCTTTCACCAACACAGCAGGCAGAACAGCTGAGGTGGAGAGAGGAGGAGGTGGAGAGAGGAGGAGGTGGAGAGAGGAGGAGGTGGAGAGAGGAGGAGGTGGAGAGGAGGAGGAGAGAGCAGGCAGAACAGCTGAGGTGGAGAGAGGAGGAGGTGGAGCGAGGAGGAGAGAGGAGGAGGAGAGAGCAGGCAGAACAGCTGAGGTGGAGAGAGGAGGATGTGGAGAGAGGAGGAGGTGGTGGAGGGGGGGGGGGGGGGGGGGGGTTGGCTGCGAGGGGTGACAGTTCTGACTGTCTCATGTGCTTGGTGAGAGAGGAGGGAGGGAGGGGGTGGTGCCTGTGGGCAGCAAGCTGTTATCAAGACAGGGATAGGAGGTAAGGAGGCGGCAGCATGGGTTGGGCTGGCATGGGGTGAGCATAGGGGGAGTCACTGTGCTCTGTCGTGTTGAGGCAGCAAGAGAGAGACAGGAAGGAAGGAAGGAAGGAAGGACTCAGGGTGTCTGTGGCTGAGAAGGGCAGTGTGTGAGAGTGTGTGGGAGGTCGTGTTTGAGAAAGAGCTCAGTGACGGTCTGAGTTGCACACCGTGTCGGACCGGAGGGGTGTGTGTGTGTGTGTGTGTGTGTGTGTGTGTGTCTGTCTAACGGAGAGCTGCCTCCTCAAACCTGCACAAAGGACACCGGTTGGCGTCTGACTAGTTGGAGGACAGTCTGTGTCTTGCAGTGGGGTCCGCCACGCCGTGGATGTGTGTGTGTGTGTGTGCAGCTGTGTGTGCGGCTCCGGCATGCTGAGTCTGGTGCAGCAGAGCTCTCGTCCTCTGAGAGAGAGGGCGTCCGCTGGTTTGCCGGTGGGAGGGAGGCCAGCCAAGGAACTGCTCATGACTCTGCCCTGTCCCTCTGCTCAGACTGTCAGCAAGTACAACTCGCAGTACCACAAACTCTTCCAGTGCGTTCCGAAGGACGAGATCCTAATGAAAGGTACTGTCAACAAAAATGCTACATGCTAACACCTGTTGTAGCATCTCTGTTTGATGTGTGTGTTTTAGGTTAACATGCTAGTTACTGTCTTTAGCTTACTGTCTATATGCTGTGTATTAACGTCAGGTAAACACGCTATTAGCTCTATGTGCTGTGGTTATGTACCTTTTGCTAACTTGCTAGCTACGGTAGCATCTCTTCTGTGCTCATTTATTTGAGGCTGACTTGCTAACATGCTACGGTAGCTGACATCTCTGTATGTCTGTTTGCGTGCTGGTTTCTGTCTTCTGATGCTTTTACTACAGAGTTGAACGAATGTGCCTGTAATTGGTTAAAAATATTATATTTGCATTTAATATAAGGACTGCTACTTCTATTACTAGTATGGCCGGGAAGATACCAGTATCGCAATATTTCTTCCATGGCAAAAATGTAAACACGAAGCAGACCAAACTCTTCGGTCGTTTAAAAACCTGCTGTATGTAAAATATTTTGTGCTAAAGCTTGGAAAATAAACATTGAGGCTGTTTTCCTAAAGAAGTTAAATCCGCTTTGTGTTTTGTTTCCTTCTCGCGATACTGGTATCGTCCCGGCACTAATCACTATTATTAGTAGAAGTACTTTCACTGTCAAATGTTGTCGTCTGCAATGAGTATACACTTTCTCTTATGTTTTTGTCCCCACATACTGTATGAGTTTTAGTCATTTCATTTTTGGCTTTGGAACTGTATAGGCTACTCAGTGTGTTTGAAACCATCTTTATGTATTCAGAGAGTTTCTGGTAAGGGTAACCAGTCCTCAGGCCCTGAACAGGAAGTGTATGGTTTGAGGTCAGGTTATGCAGATTAGGTCAGGGCTGGGATTCCCAAAAGCATCCTAGCACTAAGATAATTTTTGTCCACTTACAGTACTTTTTTGGTTACTACATGATTCCATATGTGTTATTTCATAGTTTTGATGTCTTCACTATTATTCTACAATGTAAAAAACGGTAAAAAATATAAAAATGAGTAGGTGTGTCCAAACTTTTGACTGGTAGTGTAGTTTCAATTGAATTAAGATTATCTTAGTGCTACGATGCTTTTGGGAAACCCAGCCCTGTTCTATTTTAGACTAGGGGTAAAGTGATGATGGTGTATACAGTTTTGATCTGTTTAACTGATATGAACGTACCAGTTACTTTATTCAATGCCTATTAACCTATTTTAGAAACACCTATAGGCCAAGTCAAAGACATGAACTATAATTATATATAATATTTCCGTTCAGCAAACGCTTTCACCCAAAGCCACTTACAGTCATGCATGCATACATTTTTCGTGAGAAGCTACAAACACAGTGTTAGCGATGTGCTTGTTTTGAGTTAGCGGCTACTGTTAACCTGTTTATGTCTCCTCTCCCTCAGTATACTCCTGCGCTCTGCTCCGAGACATCCTGCTACAAGGCCGGCTCTACATCTCCAGGAACTGGTTGTGTTTCTATGCCAACCTCTTTGGCAAGGACATCAAGGTGAGTGAAGGCCTGGCAGTTAATAGACAGATCGTCTATAATATATACATACATCTTAGAATGTGTGCCCCAGCTGGAGCAAACCCACAACCCTGGTGTTGCTAGCACCACACTAATACCAACTGAGCCACACAGGACCGCAGGGCCTCGATATATAGATGGACAGACAGAGAGAAGCAGGGTGAGACTTCCAAGGCCAACTATCACACTACTCACCTTCAACCTTGCCCACTTCCAATTGGAACAGTGTGCTGGGAGCTGTTAGTCAGGCAGCCGATGGAGCTGTTAGTCAGGCAGCCGATGGAGATGTTAGTCAGGCAGCCGATGGAGATGTTAGTCAGGCAGCCGATGGAGATGTTAGTCAGGCAGCCGATGGAGATGTTAGTCAGGCAGCCGATGGAGATGTTAGTCAGGCAGCCGATGGAGATGTTAGTCAGGCAGCCGATGGAGATGTTAGTCAGGCAGCCGATGGAGATGTTAGTCAGGCAGCCGATGGAGATGTTAGTCAGGCAGCCGATGGAGATGTTAGTCAGGCAGCCGATGTCCATGAGCAAATCATGTAGCTCAGGTTTTTGTGTTGTGCCTGTTGTTTTTACTTTGTTGACTACTATTTTAGGGCCAGGAGTTTTTCTGTGACCGCATTGGCACAAAAGTAGTGGCTCTTTGCACTACGGACATTTGTTTGAGTGTGTGTGAGTGCGCCCAATCAAATCAAAGTGTGTGTGTGTGTGTGCGTGCGTGCGTCCATTCAAATCAAAGTGTGTGTGTACCTGCCTACCTGTAGTGTGTCTGGACTAGACTATTAGAGTATATGCTGTGCATTTCCTCCTTTGATGTCATGGTTGTTCCTTTCCCTCCAGGGAGTTAGAAACATGGTACAGATGGAGGATCTTCATCTGACCAGTATTGTCGCAGCAACAGGATTTTAGCGTAATGTCCCTTCATCGTTGGTTAGGCTATTAGCTGGCCGAAATTAGGCTCAAGAAAAGTGCAATACTGTTAATATAACCGTGTGTTAGTGCAGGTTTTCAGTGAATTTATGTAAATCATGCGGTGAAAATCATGATCAAATTAAGACCCTACACCTGTCTCTCCTGCCTCTGGCCTGCAATAAGCTGCTTAGTCAGAGTGCATTCCTAGCATTCTATCTGCAACTAGACACATATCCTCCTTATTCTGCCCCTTCAATCCAGCACCAGAGGCTTACCCTCCTTTATTCTGCCCCTTCCCTCCAGCACCAGGGGCTTTCCCCTCCTTTCCCCTCCTTTATTCTGCCCCTTCTATCCAGTCCCCCGTGTCTGGTACAGTAAGTCCCTGTGTCTGGTACAGTAAGTCCCTGTGTCTGGTACAGTAAGTCCCTCTCTCTGGTACAGTAAGTCCCTCTCTCTGGTACAGTAAGTCCCTGTGTCTGGTACAGTAAGTCCCTCTCTCTGGTACAGTAAGTCCCTGTGTCTGGTACAGTAAGTCCCCGTGTCTGGTACAGTAAGTCCCTCTCTCTGGTACAGTAAGTCCCTCTCTCTGGTACAGTAAGTCCCTGTGTCTGGTACAGTAAGTCCCTCTCTCTGGTACAGTAAGTCCCCGTGTCTGGTACAGTAAGTCCCTCTCTCTGGTACAGTAAGTCCCCGTGTCTGGTACAGTAAGTCCCCGTGTCTGGTACAGTAAGTCCCTCTCTCTGGTACAGTAAGTCCCCGTGTCTGGTACAGTAAGTCCCTCTCTCTGGTACAGTAAGTCCCTCTCTCTGGTACAGTAAGTCCCCGTGTCTGGTACAGTAAGTCCCTCTCTCTGGTACAGTAAGTCCCGTGTCTGGTACAGTAAGTCCCCTCTCTGGTACAGTAAGTCCCCTTCTGGTACAGTAAGTCCCTCTCTCTGGTACAGTAAGTCCCCGTGTCTGGTACAGTAAGTCCCTCTCTCTGGTACAGTAAGTCCCTCTCTCTGGTACAGTAAGTCCCTCTCTCTGGTACAGTAAGTCCCTGTGTCTGGTACAGTAAGTCCCTCTCTCTGGTACAGTAAGTCCCTCTCTGGTACAGTAAGTCCCTCTCTCTGGTACAGTAAGTCCCTCTCTCTGGTACAGTAAGTCCCTGTGTCTGGTACAGTAAGTCCCTCTCTCTGGTACAGTAAGTCCCTGTGTCTGGTACAGTAAGTCCCTGTGTCTGGTACAGTAAGTCCCTGTGTCTGGTACAGTAAGTCCCTCTCTCTGGTACAGTAAGTCCCTCTCTCTGGTACAGTAAGTCCCCGTGTCTGGTACAGTAAGTCCCTCTCTCTGGTACAGTAAGTCCCCGTGTCTGGTACAGTAAGTCCCTCTCTCTGGTACAGTAAGTCCCTGTGTCTGGTACAGTAAGTCCCTGTGTCTGGTACAGTAAGTCCCTGTGTCTGGTACAGTAAGTCCCCTGTGTCTGGTACAGTAAGTCCCTGTGTCTGGTACAGTAAGTCCCTCTCTCTGGTACAGTAAGTCCCTCTCTCTATAAAGTATAATATTGTGTCCTCTTTTTCCCCACCTCTTCTCCCCCATCATAGGTTGCTATCCCCGTGGTCTCTGTGAGGCTGGTAAAGAAGCACAAAACGGCAGGTCTGGTGCCCAACGGCCTAGCCATCACCACAGACACCAGTCAGAAGGTGAGCGTTAGCCTCTTAGCGCCTCTGGCCACAGTGAATGGAAACACGGCTAACTGACGTTAGTGCCGCACCACGTTCTTTCCACCAAGCACAGGTAGATGGAAAATAAACAACACCTCGTGCTAACAGGCTAAGCTAATGCAAGTCAGCGCATGGTTCGGTAACACTGAAAAGGTGTCGAGGTTGCAGTCTATTTAGGTAGTGTCCCTTCTTGGTTCCTCTCCAGTGTGTGGGAGATAGAACGGTTCACCTGCAACCTGCTCCTTTACGTTGGAGCAAACGTCTGGAAAGGGTTCATTATTACTCTGTCATCTTAATGTTCTGAATGGATTGGAATGTTTTTAAAATTGTATAACTGCCTTAATTTTGCTGGACCCCAGGAAGAGCAGCTGCTGTTTTATGATATTTTGTGGAACTAGTAGGTGATTTAAGGACTCATACTCTCTCGTTGAAAATGATTTTTGAAAGAGGGGTGTTTTAGTAGAGGTACAGTACAGGCACCATGTAAGAGGAATGTAATATCACTATTGAAATATCCTCTGTCAGTGTACTAGATTATGCCTTAATCTGTCAAATACAATCCATGGTAGATTTAGTTACTGTTCACAGTAACTATATTTAGAGAAAATTGCATTCCTGGTAATGAGATGATGTCTAATGGATCATATAAATGTTCCTGACAATGGTTTTACTCTCCTACCCTGTATGTGCATGAGTGTGAGCAGACGTGCGTGTGTATGCTTTCATTCTCATTTGAGTTAGCTCATCTCTCTCGTCACCACTCGAAAGATAGAGATAGATATAGAGAGAAAAATCAAAAAAGAGAATAGATAGAGAGAACTAGTAGAAGAGATACCCAAAAAACCAAACCAACCTACCCCCCCCCCCCTCTCTCCCTCTCCTCTCCTCTCTCCTCTCCCCTACTCTCCCCTTCTTCTCTTTCCTCTCTCCTTCCTCCCCCCTCCGCCCTGCAGTATGTCTTTGTGTCTCTGCTGTCCAGGGACAGTGTGTATGACGTGCTCCGGAGGATCTGCACACACCTCCAGGTCAGAGAACACACACACTGGCTTCCACAACACCCCACACACACACCTCCAGGTCAGAGAACACACACACTGGCTTCCACAACACCCCACACACACACCTAACACTGGCTACTGCTACACACCTCCGGGTTAGAGAACACACACACACACACACACACACACACACACACACACACACACACACACACACACACACACACACACACACACACACACACACACACACACACACACCTAATACAACATCCCACACACACCTAATACAACATCCCACACACACCTAATACAACTTCCCACACACACCTAATACAACATCCCACACACACCAAATACAACATCCCACACACACCTAATACAACATCCCACACACACCTAATACAACATCCCACACACACCTAATACAACATCCCACACACACCTAATACAACATCCCACACACACACATCTACTACTGAACCAGCTCACTCCCACATTAACAGGTCTATTGGTCTTCAAAGTTTGCGTACTGAATATTTCCCACATCTCATCGTTCCCTCTCCAGGTCAATGGGAAGAAGAGTCTGAGCTTGAAACACTACATGGAGGTGCCCCACACCTTATCTCTGGTAAGTAAGCTTAGGACTCTGGCTCCTCACTCCAGACTGATCGTTGTCTCTTATGGGTTAGAACATTGTCCAACTTCAGACTGATCGTTGTCTCTTATGGGTTAGAACATTGTCCAACTTCAGACTGATCGTTGTCTCTTATGGGTTAGAACATTGTCCAACTTCAGACTGATCGTTGTCTCTTATGGGTTAGAACATTGTCCAACTTCAGACTGATCATTGTCTCTTATGGGTTAGAACATTGTCCAACTTCAGACTGATCGTTGTCTCTTATGGGTTAGAACATTGTCCAACTTCAGACTGATCATTGTCTCTTATGGGTTAGAACATTGTCCAACTCCAGACTGATCGTTGTCTCTTGTGGGTTAGAACATTGTCCAACTTCAGACTGATCGTTGTCTCTTATGGGTTAGAACATTGTCCAACTTCAGACTGATCATTGTCTCTTATGGGTTTAGAACATTGTCCAACTTCAGACTGATCATTGTCTCTTATGGGTTAGAACATTGTCCAACTCCAGACTGATCGTGTCTCTTATGGGTTTAGAACATTGTCCAACTTCAGACTGATCGTTGTCTCTTATTGGTTAGAACATTGTCCAACTTCAGACTGATCGTTGTCTCTTATGGGTTAGAACATTGTCCAACTTCAGACTGATCGTTGTCTCTTATGGGTTAGAACATTGTCCAACTCCAGACTGATCGTTGTCTCTTATGGGTTAGAACGTTGGCCAGCTAGACTGAACACAAGTACAACATGAATCACATTATTATTCTGAATAGTATTGAGGTCAAACGGGAGAATCAAGGACATGGGTGGTTCCTAATGCTGTGAGGTTCTCGCTAGTGTTTACAGAACAACTGGTTCTGCAGGATTAGGATCAGGATTTCCAATTGTAACAGTAAGCAACTGTAACAAAATGGATGACTGCAGTGTAGCCTTTGTTATGAGTACAGGTTGCATGGATTGCTAAGGCATAAGAATATGAACGTGTGTATTGTTATTTTAACTGTGTGTAGTTCTGTACCTGTCTATTAATGTTATGTATTATGTCCTGTTATGGAGCTATGTCCTTCAGCTGTACCTGTCTATTAATGTTATGTATTATGTCAGCGGGGAGCAACTGCTGCCCCTCATGATGAGTTCAGATTTTTGGTGGCCCCCACCCCTATCAATGTTGCTACTTGATTTCCGGAGTTACTTAATGTCTTAGGTATTGTCTTAATTAATGTCTTATGAAAGGGGGAATACTAGTCAGTTGTACAACTGAATGCATTCAATTGAAATGTTTCTTCCTCATTTAACCCAACCCCTCTGAATCAGAGAGGTGCGGTGGGCTGCCTTAATCGACATCCACATCTTTGGCACCCGGGGATCAGTGGGTTAACTGCCTTGCTCAGGAGCAGAACGACTGATTTTTACCTTGTCAGCTCGAGGATTCGATCCAGCAACCTTTCGGTTACTTGCCCAACACCACAACCCGCCAGGCTACCGGCCGCCCCATAACCCAGGAACTAGAGTATTTCAAAAGAGAACGATAGTTTCAGAATCTCTATAATTGGGGTAATGTCCTTGGCATAACCTATAAGACATGTTTGGCGTAATGTCTGGGTCATAACCTATAAGACATGTTGGGGTAACGTCTGGGTCATAACCTATAAGACATGTTGGGGTAACGTCTGGGTCATAACCTATAAGATATGTTGGGGTAACGTCTGGGTCATAACCTATAAGACTAGGGGGTGTTGGGGTAACGTCTGGGTCATAACCTATAAGACATGTTGGGGTAACGTCTGGGTCATAACCTATAAGACATGTTTGGGGTAACGTCTGGGTCATAACCTATAAGACATGTTGGGGTAACGTCTGGGTCATAACCTATAAGACATGTTGGGGGTAACGTCTGGGTCATAACCTATAAGACATGTTGGGGTAACGTCTGGGTCATAACCTATAAGACATGTTGGGGTAACGTCTGGGTCATAACCTATAAGACATGTTGGGGTAACGTCTGGGTCATAACCTATAAGACATGTTGGGGTAACGTCTGGGTCATAACCTATAGACATGTTGGGGTAACGTTCGGGTCATAACCTATAAGACATGTTGGGGGTAACGTCTGGGTCATAACTATAAGACATGTTGGTGGTAAGTCTGGGTCATAACCTATAAGACATGTTGGGGTAACGTCTGGGTCATAACCTATAAGACATGTTGGGGGTTAAACGTTGGGTCATAAACCTAAAAGGGACATGTTGGGGTAACGTCTGGGTCATAACCTATAAGACATGTTGGGGTAACGTCTGGGTCAATAACCTATAAGACATGTGGGTAACGTTGGGTCATAACCTATAGACATGTTTGGGTAACGTCTGGGTCATAACCTATAAGACATGTTGGGGGTACTCTGGGTCATAACCTATAAGACATGTTGGGTGATCGGGTATAACTATAATACATGTTTGAGGGGAACGTCTGAATGCATTCAATGAAAATGTTTCTTCCGCATTTAACCCAACCCTCAAAGAGATGTGGGGTGGGCTGGCTAACACATCCACACTTTGGCACCCGGGGCAAACAGTGGGTGTAACTGGCTATCCTCAGGAGCGAACGACTGTGTTTACCTTGTCAGTCAGGATTCGTCCAGCAAAGCTTTCGGTTAAACTTCCGCAAACCAAAACCAGTGGTGCCGGCGCACCATACCAGGACTGGTATTTCAAAGGAACGTAGTGGTCAGAATCTCTATAATGTGGGGTATACGTCCTTGTCATAACCTATAAGACATGTTTGGCGTAATGTCTGGGTCATAACCTATAAGACATGTTGGGGTAACGTCTGGGTCATAACCTAATAAGATCATGTTGGGGTAACGTCTGGGTCATAACCTATAAGACATGTTGGGGGTAACGTCTGGGTCATAACCTATAAGACATGTTGGGGTAACGTCTGGGTCATGACCAATAAGACATGTTGGCGTAACGTCTGGGTCATAACCTATAAGACATGTTGGGGTAACGTCTGGGTCATAACCTATAAGACATGTTGGGGTAACGTCTGGGTCATAACCTATAAGACATGTTGGGGGTAACGTCTGGGTCATAACCTATAAGACATGTTGGGGGTAACATAACTATAGAAATGTTTGGGGTACGTCTGGGTCATAACCTATAAGACGTGTTGGGGGGTAACGTCTGTGTCATAACCTATAAACATGTTGGGGTAACGTCTGGGTCATAACCTTAATGACATGTTGGGGTACTTCTTGGGTCTAACCAGATAAAACATGTTGGGGTACGTCTGGGTCATAACCTAAGACATGTTGGGGTAACGTCTGGGTCATAACCTATAAGACATGTTTGGGGTAACGTCTGGGTCATAACCTATAAGACATGTTTGGGGTAACGTCTGGGTCATAACCTATAAGACATGTTTGGGTAACGTCTGGGTCCATAACCTGTAAGAATGTTGGGGTAACGTCCTGGGTCATACCTATAAGACATGTTTGGGGGTAAACGTCTGGGTCATAACCTATAAGACATGTTTGGGGGTAACGTCTGGGTCATAACCTATAAGACATGTTGGGGTAAACGTCTGGGTCATAACCTAATAAGACATGTTGTTTTTCCTTGTGTTGCTTCTTCTCCACTAAACACAGAACCATTAGCAGTGCTGTGCTTTGTGTCAAATTGATTCTCTACTGAAATAACATCTATTAGCCTGTGGATGAGATAAGAAGTCTGTTGTGGTTAACAAAGAAATGGCCGGTCTGAATGTAAAGCTGATTTACAAGCTATAAAGCTGGACTATCGACAACCTAAATCTGTAATTGCAGTCATTCGAATGCAGCTGTTACAATGAAAATAACAAAACCAAAACAGTGTCTGTGTGGTCTGTGTGTCTGTGTGTGTTGTGTCTGTGTGTCTGTGTGTGTCTGTGTGTCTACTACTACCCTATTATAGTCTAATAATGAATAATCCTAATCATAATAAATAATTAACGTTTTTCTAAAGTGTATGTACTGTATTGGTTATGAATCAGTATCCATATGTGACCTTGTCTCTAGATATGTGTAACACTGGGATGACCCAAGTCTGCCATGGCCATGCCGCTCTGTGACCTTCAACAATGACCTTATCAATGACTTCCTGGGAAAGAAATGGAAGTAATCAATATCTGGTCCATTGTCATCTGGCTCTTACTGTCTCAATGAGTATTCTCCTGAGTGGGCACACACGATACAGCCATCTTGTATGATGGTTGACTTTCATAACATCTGTATGTAATGGGGTGTAATATGTATTATTGTCTAATTCATATGTTATAGATTGATCATGGATGGATGTAGATATATAGATAAACTGTGCAGCATCGAGAGAGTGGAACACTTTCTTTCCTGAAGATTTAGTTCTTTCAGATCAATAATTCCTCCTCTCTCTCCCTCCAGGATGAGTACCCGGTGACGGATGAGTTCCCGGTGGCGGATGAGTATCCTCCGGTGCTGAAGTGGAGGAGAAAACCCTCGGTGGTGTCCGTGTCCTCGTCCCTCCCAGACCTCCTGGGTAGCTCCACGGGTAGCCTGACTGCAGTGGACTCCTCCTTCCAGACAGACCAGCCTCTGGAAGGTGAGAACCTAGCCTGGACCCCCATCGGTTTATGCTGTATTACAGACAATTCTTGTTTCGCATGAGAAGGACCGTACGGGTTTGGCAAGACGACACAAGCAGATCTGGGACCAGGCTAGGGACAACCTGTTTTTTGTGTATTTAATTTCACAAAGGATGACAAACTGACAGATACAATGGTGAACACAGCATTTCTCATGAATAGCATAATATCATAGTGCAACATCAGCCATGTCTATTGAGGCTATGCCACATGAGGTGAGCGTGCCGTTTTTTTCTGGTGCATTAAGTGATTGGAGGTGTTCAGCTTTATCGACTCCTGGCCAGAGTTATCCATTGATGTTAGCGGGCTGGGGCTGGGCCATCACGTTTGCAGAATTTTCAAATACTTGATTATGTTTAGGAGGGGAACTGGGAAGGGAGAGTTGTGTTTGCAATACAGGATTAAGCACCAAATGAAATTTTAGCATGTAGGGACTTGCTGTGTCCCACTGCTGTGTCCCATTACTGTACCCTACTACTTACCTACTACTGACCCTATACTTTATATGCCTATTGTATCTGTACCTACTACTATAACTATCTCCTATAACACGTACCCACTTGTATAGTACCTGCACGTATATGACATATACTGTACCCATATGTACCGAGATTGTATTAGTACTGTACTGCTCGAAGTACCATATTGCCGTACTTAGTGCTTCGACTTTACTGCCCTCTCTCTCCTAACGTACCAACGTAATGACTATAAGACCCTCGGTTCACTCGCCACTCTTACCACTACGACTCGTATTATTAATGACTACTACTGCAGTACCCATATGTACCACATGATATGGTATATGACATTTTCTGTCTATATGATTACTATCGCCTCCGCAGACCTATGTCCTGCCCTATATGTGATGCTATGTTAATGTACTAGTCCTCAGTCCCTAGAATTTACTGTATATCGTGTACTGCCATACTCCTACGTACACGCACCATACTGTAATATACGACTATACAGTCTATGATATGCCACATATTACTACAACTATATGACCACTCTAACGTCACCGATGCACATGCCTATTATGATATACAGTACCTAGGATACTGCACTAGTAGACCTATACTGACTATGTGTAAGACTCTATTCGTCATCGCTATGACCCTATACGTACCTACATGTACACTATGTATAGACTCTATCTAGTCCACAGTCCGTCCTATCGACTAACTTACACGACCACGACGTACTATAGTACACAACTTACCTCTACGACTACTCATACCCTTAGATATACCACTGACCGTACTACTATACACGCCATATACCACTACCCTATGACATAGACTATGAATACTACATAACTATATTCCTACATTAGACCTACACGACAGACTAAGAGTATGTCTATACGTACCTATATGTATACTGTACCTATATGTACTACTGTACTACTACGACCTACTACTATATGTACCTACACTTACTACTGTACTACTACTTTATATGTACCCTCTACTGTACCACTGTACCCTACTACTGTACCTACTACTGTACCCACTACGTATCTGTACCCACTACGTACTAGTACTACTAGTGCCACTGACCCTCTAGTAACCTACTACTGGCACTGACCACTAGTATAGTACCCATACTGTACTACTATGTACTACGACCTACTGTATACTAACCTACAGTACACGTACCAAGTCAGCCCACTTGTACTGTATACGTACCTATACTGTACCCTATACTGTACACTGACCTATACTTACTATGCTACCTATAGTACCTACTATACTATGTACCTACTATGTACTACTGTACCTACTATTTACTACTGACCCTATACTGTACACTGTACCTACTATGTACCTACTATGTCCTACTACGACTAGTACCTACTACTGTATACTGTACCCTACTACTGTGCCACTGTACCCTACTACTGACCCTACTACTGTGCCACGTACCCCACTACTGTACTACTGACCTACTACTGTACCCTACACTTACTACTGTACCCTACTACTGTACCCTATACTGTCATGACCTACTACTGTACCACTGACCCTATTTACTGTACCCTACTACTGTACCACTGTACCCTACTACTGTACCACTGTACCCTACTACTGTACCCTACTACTGTCCACTGTACTCTACTACTGTCCACTGTACCACTACTGACTAGTACCCTACTACTGTCCACTGTACCTACTACTGTACCTATACGTACCTACTACTGTATACTGTACCCTACTACTGTTACCTCTACTGTGCCACTGTACCCTATACTGTACACTGTACCTATACTGTACCTACTACTGTACCATGTACCCTACTACTGTACCACTGTTCCCTACTACTGTACTGTACTACTGTACCCTACTACGTCCTATTACTGTACCCTCTACTGTACCCTACTACTGACCTACTACTGTACATTATATCTAAAACTGCCCATATGTAACAGTACTAACTTTATGTCCTATTGTACTCTGTACCTACTATGACATATAACAGTTCACTGTACACTTCACTATGACATTAGACTTCATCTGACCAGCTTACTATACTATAACAGTCCATCTGTACCACTTTACTATGACATATAACGGTCCATTGTATGCACTTTACTATGACTATAAGACAGTCCTCTATGCGCTACTATGACTTAAGCATTCCATCTGTATGACTTTACTATGACTATAGACATTCCATCTGTATACTTACTATGACATATAAGACAGTCATCTGTATGCACTTACTATGACATATAGACAGTTCCATCTGTATCACTTTACTATGACATATAGACAGTACCATACTGTACAGCTTTACTATGACATATAAGACAGTCCATCGTATGCAGGCTTACTATGACATATAAGCAGCTTACTGTACCACTGTACCCTACTACTGTACCCTACTACTGTACCCTACTACTGTACTATGTACCCTACACTGTACTACTATACCACTACTGTACTATGTACCCTACTACTGTACTACTATACCCTACTACTGTACCACTGTACCCTACTACTGTACCAATGTACCCTACTACTGTACTGTACTACTGTACCCTACTACTGTACCCTACTACTGTACTACTGTACCCTACTACTGTACTACTGTACCCTACTACTGTACCCTACTACTGTACTACTGTACCCTACTACTGTACTACTGTACCCTATACTTACTACTGTACCCTACTACTGTACCCTACTACTGTACCTACTATGTACCCTACTACTGTACTACTGTACCCTACTACTGTACTACTGTACCCTACTACTGTACTACTGTACCCTACTACTGTGCACTGTACCCACTACTACTGTACCCTACTACTGTCCTACTGTACCCTACTACTGTACCCTACTACTGTACTACTGTACCCTACTACTGTACCTATTTACTGTTGCCACTGTACCCTACTACTGTACAACGTACCCTACTACTGTACTTATCCCTTACTACTGTACCACTGTTACCTTACTACTACTTGTACCCATACTGTACCACTTACTACTGTACCCTACTACTGTACCACACTCGTACCCTACTACTGTATGTCCACTGTACCACTACTGTACTACTTCACGTACCCTACTATGTACTGTACCACTACTGCCTAACGTCTGACTACTACTGTACCCTACTACTGTGCCACTGTACCACTTACTACTGTACCCTACTACTGTACTGTACCCTACTACTGTACACTGTACCCTACTACTGTAACTGTACCCTACTACTGTGCCACTGTACCCTACTACTGTACTACTGTACCCTACTACTGTACCACTGTACTATACTACTGTACCACTGTACCCTACTACTGTACCACTGTACCCTACTACTGTACCCTACTACTGTACTACTGTACCCTAACTACTGTACCCTACTACTGTACCCTACTACTGTACCCTACTACTGTACCCTACCTACTGCTGTACCCTACTACTTGCTACATTATATGATCTAGAAGAAACTGCCCAGTGATGTATACAGTACATAACACTATTATTGTCTCATAATTGTGACATCTGTATGCAGGCTTTACTATGACATATAAGACAGGGTTCCATCTGTATGCAGGCTTCACTATGACATATAAGACAGGGTTCCATCTGTATCCAGGCTTTACTATGACATATAAGACAGGGTTCCATCTGTATCCAGGCTTTACTATGACATATAAGACGGGTTCCATCTTATGCAGGCTTACTATGACATATAAGACAGGGTTCCATCTGTATGCAGGCTTTACTATGACATATAAGACAGGGTTCCATCTGTATGCAGGCTTTACTATGACATATAAGACAGGGTTCCATCTGTATGCAGGCTTTACTATGACATATAAGACAGGGTTCCATCTGTATGCAGGCTTACTTGACATATAAGACAGGTCCATCTGTATGCGGCTTTACTATGACATATTAAGACAGGGTTCCATCTGTATGCAGGCTTACTATGACATATATAGACAGGTTCCATCTGTATGCAGGCTTTACTATGACATATAAGACAGGGTTCTATCTGTACACTGTACCTATCGACCTAACTACAGGTACTACGTACTGTACCATCTGTACCCACTCTGTACTACTATACCCTACTATGTACTACTGTACCTACTACTGTACTACTATACCACTTACGAGTACCACTGTACCCTATACGTACACTGTTACGTACCTACTACTTTACTACTAACTGTACCTACTGACTTACCCTACTACTGTACTACTGTACCCTACTACTGTACTACTGTACCCTACTACTGACCCTGCTACTATACTACTGTACCCTACTACTGTACTACTGTACCCTACTACTGTACTACTGTACCCTACTACTGTACCACCTACCCTTTACACTGTACCCTACTACTGTACCCTACTACTGTACTACTGTACCCTACTACTGTACTACTGTACCCTACTACTGTCCACTGTACCCTACTACTGTACCCTACTACTGTACCACTGTACCTACTACTGTACCCTACTACTGTACTACTGTACCCTACTACTGTACCCTACTACTGTACTACTGTACCCTACTACTGTACCCTACTACTTGCCACTGTACCCTACTACTGTACCACTGTACCCTACTACTGTACCCTACTACTGTACCACTGTACCCTACTACTGTACACTGTACCCTTATATGTACACTGACCCATACTATGTCCACTGTACCCTACTACTGTGACACTGTACCTACTACTGTACCCTACTACTTGTCCACTGTACCTACTACTGTACCTACTACTGTCACTGTACCCTAACGTACCTTACCCTACTACTGTACCCTACTACTGTACTACTGTACCCTACTACTGTACCCTACTACTGTACTACTGTACCCTACTACTGTACCACTGTACCCTACTACTGTACCCTACTACTGTACCACTGTACCTACTACTGTACCACTGTACCCTACTACTGTACCCTACTACTGTACTACTGTACCCTACTACTGTACCTACCTACTACTGTACCCTACCTTATGTACCCTATTACCACTGTACCCTACTACTGTACCTACCTATGCTGTACCCTACTATGCTAACTTATATGATCCTAAAGAAACTGCCCATATGTAACGTACTACACTTTATTGTCCTATTGTACTCTGTACACTTTACTATGACTATAAGACATTTCCACTGTATGCAGCCTTCACTATGACATATAGACAGTCCATCTGATCCCAGGCTTTACTATGACCTATAGACATCCTCTATCACTTTACTATGACTATAAGACAGTTCCATCTTATGCAGCTTTACTATGACATATAAGACATTCCATCTGTACCTTACTATGACATATAGACAGGTCTCTGTACACTTTACATACATATAAGACAGGTCCATTGTATCAGCTTACTTGACATATAAGACAGTCCACTGTACACTACTATGACTATGCCCTCCACTGTACACTTACTATGACATATAACAGGTCCACTGTATCAGGCTTTACTATGACATATAAGACAGGTTCCATCTGTATGCAGGCTTACTATGACATATAAGACAGGGTTCCATCTGTATGCACTTCACTATGACTATAAGAAGGGTTCCATCTGTATCCAGCCCCTTTACTATGACATAGTACACCTTACTATACTCAGACTATACTACACAGTCACTATGACTGTCTCTACCAAGACCACTACGTACTATCCCACTACTGCTTGTCCTCTTACACTATATATTACTATAGTAAGACTAACGTCATTTAATATCCCTTTACCACATTCCACTGTACTCTACTTCTATGACTACTAGTACTATATACACGTTACTGTACCTATACTCCCTACTATCAGTACTACTACGTACCCTATATGTCTCTACACACCCCTCCTTACTACTGTGCCACTGTACCTACTACTGTACCCTACTACTGTGCCACTGTACCTACTACTGTACCCTACACTGTGCCACTTGTACCACGGTACCATACTACTGTACCTGTACCCTACGACTGTACCCTACTTACTGTGCCACGACCCTACTACGTGCCACTGTTACCCTACTACTGTCCCTATACTGTGCCACTGTAAGAACCTACTACTGTACCCTACTACGGTGCCACGGTAACCTACACTTACCCTACTACGTACCACTAGACTGACTACTGTACCCTACTACTTGACCCCTATACTGTGCACTGTACCCTACGACTGTACCACTGTACCCTACTACTTACCCTATACTGTACCACGGTACCCTACGACTGTACCACTGTACCCTACTACTGCGTACCCTACTACGTACTACTGCTAACCCTACTACTGTTACCTACTACTGTACCCTACTTACTGTACCTTATTACGTACCTCCTACTGTACCCTACTACTGTACCCTACTACTTGCTACATGTATGATCTAGAAGAAACTGCCCAGTGATGTATACAGTAACATAACACTATTATTGTCTCATAATTGTGACATCTGTATGCAGGCTTTACTATGACATATAAGACAGGGTTCCATCTGTATGCAGGCTTCACTATGACATATAAGACAGGGTTCCATCTGTATCCAGGCTTTACTATGACATATAAGACAGGGTTCCATCTGTATCCAGGCTTTACTATGACATATAAGACAGGGTTCCATCTATATGCAGGCTTTACTATGACATATAAGACAGGGTTCCATCTGTATGCAGGCTTTACTATGACATATAAGACAGGGTTCCATCTGTATGCAGGCTTTACTATGACATATAAGACAGGGTTCCATCTGTATGCAGGCTTTACTATGACATATAAGACAGGGTTCCATCTGTATGCAGGCTTTACTATGACATATAAGACAGGGTTCCATCTGTATGCAGGCTTTACTATGACATATAAGACAGGGTTCCATCTGTATGCAGGCTTTACTATGACATATAAGACAGGGTTCCATCTGTATGCAGGCTTTACTATGACATATAAGACAGGGTTCCATCTGTATGCAGGCTTTACTATGACATATAAGACAGGGTTCCATCTGTATCCAGGCTTTACTATGACATATAAGACAGGGTTCCATCTGTATGCAGGCTTTACTATGACATATAAGACAGGGTTCCATCTGTATGCAGGCTTTACTATGACATATATAAGACAGGGTTCCATCTGTATGCAGGCTTTACTATGACAGATAAGACAGGGTTCCCATCTGTATCCAGGCTTTACTATGACATACAGTGGGGAAAAAAAGTATTTAGTCAGCCACCAATTGTGCAAGTTCTCCCACTTAAAAAGATGAGAGAGGCCTGTAATGTTCATCATAGGTGCAAGTCAACTATGACAGACAAATTGAGAAAAAAAATCCAGAAAATCACATTGTAGGATTTTTTATGAATTTATTTGCAAATTATGGTGGAAAATAAGTATTTGGTCACCTACAAACAAGCAAGATTTCTGGCTCTCACAGACCTATAACTTCTTCTTTAAGTGGCTCCTCTGTCCTCCACTCGTTACCTGTATTAATGGCACCTGTTTGAACTTGTTATCAGTATAAAAGACACCTGTCCACAACCTCAAACAGTCACACTCCAAACTCCACTATGGCCAAGACCAAAGAGCTGTCAAAGGACACCAGAAACAAAATTGTAGACCTGCACCAGGCTGGGAAGACTGAATCTGCAATAGGTAAGCAGCTTGGTTTGAAGAAATCAACTGTGGGAGCAATTATTAGGAAATGGAAGACATCCAAGACCACTGATAATCTCCCTCGATCTGGGGCTCCACGCAAGATCTCACCCCGTGGGGTCAAAATGATCACAAGAACGGTGAGCAAAAATCCCAGAACCACACGGGGGGACCTAGTGAATGACCTGCAGAGAGCTGGGACCAAAGTAACAAAGCCTACCATCAGTAACACACTACGCCGCCAGGGACGCAAATCCTGCAGTGCCAGATGTGTCCCCCTACTTAAGCCAATACATGTCCAGGCCCGTCTGAAGTTTGCTAGAGTGCATTTGGATGATCCAGAAGAGGATTGGGAGAATGTAATATGGTCAGATGAAACCAAAAAAGAACTTTTTGGTAAAAACTCAACTCGTCGTGTTTGGAGGACAAAGAATGCTGAGTTGCATCCAAAGAACACCATACCTACTGTGAAGCATGGGGGTGGAAACATCATGCTTTGGGGCTGTTTTTCTGCAAAGGGACCAGGACGACTGATCCGTGTAAAGGAAATAATGAATGGGGCCATGTATCGTGAGATTTTGAGTGAAAACCTCCTTCCATCAGCAAGGGCATTGAAGATGAAACGTGGCTGGGTCTTTCAGCATGACAATGATCCCAAACACACTGCCCGGGCAACGAAGGAGTGGCTTTGTAAGAAGCATTTCAAGGTCCTGGAGTGGCCTAGCCAGTCTCCATATCTCAACCCCATAGAAAATCGTTGGAGGGAGTTGAAAGTCTGTGTTGCCCAGCGACAGCCCCAAAACATCACTGCTCTAGAGGAGATCTGCATGGAGGAATGGGCCAAAATACCAGCAACAGTGTGTGAAAACCTTGTGAAGACTTACAGAAAACGTTTGACCTGTGTCATTGCCAACAAAGGGTATATAGCAAAGTATTGAGAAACTTTTGTTATTGACCAAATACTTATTTTCCACCATAATTTGCAAATAAATTCATTAAAAATCCTACAATGTGATTTTCTGGAGAAAAAAAATCTCATTTTGTCTGTCATAGTTGACGTGTACCTATGATGAAAATTACAGGCCTCTCTCATCTTTTTAAGTGGGAGAACTTGCACAATTGGTGGCTGACTAAATACTTTTTTGCCCCACTGTATAAGACAGGGTTCCATCTGTATGCAGGCTTTACTATGACATATAAGACAGGGTTCCCATCTGTATCCAGGCTTTACTATGACATATAAGACAGGGTTCCATCTGTATCCAGGCTTTACTATGACATATAAGACAGGGTTCCCATCTGTATCCAGGCTTTACTATGACATATAAGACAGGGTTCCATCTGTATGCAGGCTTTACTATGACATATAAGACAGGGTTCCATCTGTATCCAGGCTTCACTATGACATATAAGACAGGGTTCCATCTCTATCCAGGCTTTACTATGACATATAAGACAGGGTTCCCATCTGTATCCAGGCTTTACTATGACATATAAGACAGGGTTCCATCTGTATGCAGGCTTTACTATGACATATAAGACAGGGTTCCCATCTGTATCCAGGCTTTACTATGACATATAAGACAGGGTTCCATCTGTATCCAGGCTTTACTATGACATATAAGACAGGGTTCCCATCTGTATCCAGGCTTTACTATGACATATAAGACAGGGTTCCATCTGTATGCAGGCTTTACTATGACATATAAGACAGGGTTCCATCTGTATCCAGGCTTCACTATGACATATAAGACAGGGTTCCATCTCTATCCAGGCTTTACTATGACATATAAGACAGGGTTCCCATCTGTATCCAGGCTTTACTATGACATATAAGACAGGGTTCCCATCTGTATCCAGGCTTTACTATGACATATAAGACAGGGTTCCATCTCTATCCAGGCTTTACTATGACATATAAGACAGGGTTCCCATCTGTATGCAGGCATAAGACAGGGGAGAGACATAAACGACTGTAGAAACACCAGCGAATCAGCTCCAAGTGATTTGAATTTGGGAAATCTGTTTCCAAAGTATTCCCACGCATTATAGAGATATTTATTATACAAAGGTTTAAGCAAGGTTTAAAATGATTATGTTTTAGTCAAATATTATATCTGTTTGGGCCTTTTGCAGTCTACAAATTATTTGTAATTATTTTCCGGCCCCCTGACCATCCGCTCAAGAAATAATCATCCTGCAGCTGAATGTAGTTGATGATCCCTGATATAGGACAATCTGCCTTTCCCCTTATGCATATGGGTGCATATTGTCATAGTGGACTTTTTACATATTTAATATTTGTTTAAGATGTGTTTACTATGACGTAACTGTCTGGGGTTGCATAAGAGTTGGAAAACATGAGTGTAGATTGATCAAATAAAAACTTTGACCCACTTGCATACATTCAATACCTTTGTACAGACAGATGTGGTCAAATATATATTGGCATCCTTGCACTTTACAATGAAGTGCAATGGAGCAGAATGTTCTGTTTTTCTTTCTTTTCAAAACTGGTTGAATGGCTCATTTTACCCCGTAGGCAGCTGCAACTTACCACAATATATTTGATGGCATCTGTAAGCAACAATACACTATCTACTACATAGTCTGTTAGATGGCTATATTAATGTGTGTGTGTGTGTGTGTGTGTGTGTGTGTGTGTGTGTGTGTGTGTGTGTGTGTGTGTTGTAGACCGGAGCCTTGAGACAGAGAAGATCCTTCTAACAGAGCCTGTACCAGAGCTGGGCCCGATGGAATATCAGCTTCTCAAGTTCTTCGTCATACTGTAACTATTGCTGTGCCCCTCAACCAGCTTCCTCGCAGCAACAATCATATCATTAGGACCATAATAATGATAAGTATCTTTACATTATGTTGCCGGATAAATATACATTCATTGGCAGCATTATGATCAACATTTTTTGTCCGAATATTTTCTGTGAAATAATATCCGAACACGGCCTAATTGAGTATTTTTAAACATATGATCACAGAAATCCAGTTATACTGCCACCTAGTGTATACACCCAGTTGGTACATCCTAATGTCAAAACGTATTGTCCATCACTTCAGAATCATCCTCCTCATCCTGTCTTCATGTTACCTGGCCTTCCGTGTATGCAGCCTGGAGCACCAGCTGTCCTTCCTCAACAACCCAACACTGCCCCTCCGAGAGAGGTGAGGTGGGGCCAGTCTTAACTTCAGCCAAGTGTGTGTGTAACTATTGATGTAACTGTTTTGTAATTCAGTTTTATACTACTACTACTACTAATAGTAATAGTAATAATAATAATAATAATAATAATAAACTGTCACGTTTATTAAATTAGGATTTCACCCTCAGAAAATCCTGTTCATAACTGTTATTCAAATGTCACATTTTTGGAGGGAAAGCTATTTTACTGACAATTATGTTGTCTTTGGTCTCTTCTTCCCAGGTAACTGCTGCTCTGCACTGTGATCCAATACCACTTGACTGGCTCCCTTTACGGACACATTCCTCTCTGTGACCACCTCCAGACTATGCAAACAGACTATTTATTTATCATGATTTTAATACACTGTAGACTAGAAGAGGGCAACCCCCCCACCCCCCCACAATGGCAGGTGAAAGATCAAATGGGCAGGCTGATTGAAGAGCCAGCAAATAATAATAATAATAATAATATGCCATTTAGCAGACGCTTTTATCCAAAGCGACTTACAGTCATGCGTGCATACATTTTTGTGTATGGGTGGTCCCGGGGATCGAACCCACTACCTTGGCGTTACAAGCGCCGTGCTCAACCAGCTGAGCTACAGAGGACCACACTACACTCAAACCAATTGTGGATGGACTGAAAAGCCCAGGATTGGTGGGAATTGCTGGGAGTCAGGACTAGGAAGGATTCTGATTGGTGGAGGGATTCAAATGCAACAAGCAGATTGGTCTGATGGTTTTTATTGAAGATTTCTGGCCATGTTCGCCAACATTGGAGTCAACTGGGTTTTTTCCCTCCTGTCAACTCAACCAGGAATGAACCAACTACAGGACTTTAGAGAAAAGTCAAAACCATTCAACTTTTGGCAATCTATATAGTACTTTCAAGGAAAGGATTTGGATGCATTAACACACTGACAGTGGAAGAAGCCAATATCGTTGGTTTTACAGAATGTTAAAAGATTGCCCACATGAACTTTTGAGGATCGGTCCACTGTTTCAAATGTTCATCATCATCAATGAGGTCTTCATATGTTGCCATTCTAACAGGCATGTTATTCCTGATAAATAGTGCAATACAATTATGCAAAGTATCCAGCCTAGACTGACTTTTTAAATGTTGAAATGTCCTTTAACTCTGTGTTACCATGACACCACAGGTATGTTTACCAGAGTGGGTAGGATGGTAATCTTTGATGTCAGAAAAATATTGTTTAGTATAACATCTTGTCTTT